TGCTGATATTGAACCAGCTGTGTGGCATCACAGTGTGTGCAGATCAATGGTGTTTGGCTTCTCCCCCGCGCCGCTGCTAGATCCAGGGCCTCCACCGCGGGACAGGCAGGGATCTATATTGGGCATGGAAGATGACACTCAGAAAATCAGACAGGTTGTCAACAGGCCAACAGTTCAGCCAGATTATCCAAATCATTTTATTTTGGAGGTAGAGCTGAAAGCGAGCTCATGATAATCCCTCACTACACACAGGAAAATTGTGCATGCACGACTACGGCAATTACAGTAGGTCAAAAATGAACCAGGAGTCTGTAAACTATGATGAACATTTACAACAGGCTTCCAGATAAGTTTTGTCGACCTGGAGGTTTGATTAAAAGCTGTATGATCGTTTGACAGTTTGTGTTTCACAGTCACCTCTTACTTTGTTTTATCAATGTTGCTGCTTTCGTGTATCTCAGCATCAGTAAACAGAGGTGCCGCAGTGTTGGTTTGCTAATGTGAATATGATGGACACAGCATCTGAGGTTATAAACTCCAGGTAATGTGACTTCAGTATATCTGCTCACATTGCAGGACTGTCAGAGTTGCAAAAGTTTTATGTCTCTTGCACTCACAGAACCACCTCAGCACCTTGTGTATGATTTTAAAAAAACCCACATGGTTGTTGATCTTGATTCGCTGGCATCTTGGAAACACAGGATTTTCACCTGACAGTGGCTTTGAGGAAGAGGAGCAGCTGTCTGCATCAATCTTCAGTCGAAATCATCTCTCTACCAGCCACATACTAATACGGAGGCCTTGCGTGACCTTGTGATAAATCTCTACTGTCTAACGGAGACCTGCATGGGAGAGGAAGTAGTTCTTTTTGTCGTTGCTGTCTTAGATGTGGCCCCAATAACATGCACAATAAACGTTCATAAAGCCAAAGTAATGAGGTCACTGCGGGCCCCAGAATAGGCCTTGGTTAGATTTCCTCTCGTCCTCTTGTCTGGGACGAGGGAAGAATTTTGTTGCAATGTGCTGCTGCTTACATTGTGTGAAGAGGGGGGCGTTGTGTGTTGTTACAGTAATGTTCCCTTTGAGGGTTATTAAGTTTAGTCTGCGGTATAAGTTGTCATTTAAATACAGTCATGTGTGCCCTCCTACTCTGCTCAGTAGGTGGTGATGTCAGCAGCCTCAGTTACAGAAGCAGAACCTGCCCACACTGATTACACTAGAACGGGAGGTAGTGTTAGAAGCTCAAACCCTCGTCTAAACTGTAGATGTACCGTGTATAACGCACAAGGAGAAATCAGTCGGCACCATGCTCTCTTGGGATTTGTCCATCTTGCTTTCCTTTTGACACTTTCCCCGTTTCCTTGTGTGAGAGAGACGAGCAGCAGTGTGTGTCCAGGTGAGAAGATTCAGTCTGGTGGAGCAGCTCTACTGCTGATATTTACCTGGCACTTGTGGTGGTGATTTGCAAGGCACCAATAGGTGCTTGGGGATCAGGCTGCCTCGTCACTGCACACTGAGTTTGATTAAACAGAGAGGTGTGTGTGTGTGTGTGTCTCCCACGGGATGTCATCCCACGCCAAAGCTCCAGGAAAAGGTTTGAATTCTTTTAATAAAGCAATGCAGAGCCAATCTCTCCGACTGTGCCAGAGTCAGCCTGCTTTATTAAAACCTAGAGGCTCTTTAAAACTCTCACTAATACAGCTAGTTCACTCATAAGCGTCGTCGCTTAGTCAGTCCGTCATTCTTCTATATTTCTGTACAATTTCTTAATTTTTTTCTCGATTTTCCTTCATTTTCAATTTCAGACACCTCTTCACCCTACAGCAGTGTTAGAGGCTGGCACATTGTTGAGAGCCAACAAAACAACACATCTGAGAATCATTCAAATATTCGACATTCTTGTCTTTGTTGTATTTTTCAAATGTGAAGACGTACCTCTTTTCTCTGTCGTATGTCATCGTGTCATAGCACTTTTATCCAAAGTGCTTCATGACCATTGAGACCATGGCAATTCAGCGTCTTGCCCAAGGCACCCAGCTATTAGTTTGACAACCCGCTCTACCTCCTCAGCTACTGCTGCCCAAACCGAAATAAGCGATCTGACAATGTCACCTTGGGCTCTGCGGAAATTCTGATCTTTGTAATTTCCACGACAAATAATGAATTCCTTAATTGCAAACAAATAACATATAATCAATAATGACAGTAATCTTCAGTTGCAGGTCTAAGCTCCTCCATCACCGCTCAGTTTAAATTCACCTCAGGCTTCATGGTTGCTCACAAGACATTTCTCCTGAAGACTTACTCAGGCATGGGGGGGGGGGGGATTGCACTCGAATGCCCCTTGCAACAGACTGCTTGCTTTATACACATGACACCTCATCCCTGATCCCCACATCTGAGATGAAACACTCTTTTTAATTAAGCTAGATTTATGCATGCCGTCTCCCAGCGCTGGGAGCTCGTGTGAAGTGGCTGCTGGCTCTTCCCTGGGTATATGCAGTGTGCTTGACTTTACGGAGGCTGGAGGAGAAGCACAGATCTGATGACAGCAGAGCTGGGAGAGGACCTTGCTGGGTGAACAATTGTTTTAAAGGGGACCTATTATGCTCATTTTCAGGTTCATGCTTGTGTTGTTGGTTTCTACTAGAACTTGTTTACATTCAAGTGTTCAAAAACACTTTATTTTCCTACATTAGACAGGAAGCAGGCCAGCTGGGGCCATCTTTGTACCGTTTGCATGTTCTCCCTGTGTCAGCGTGGGTTTTCTCTGGGTTCTCTAGCTTCCTGCCACAATCCAAGGACATGCACGTTGGAGTAATTGGTGACTCTAAATTACCCATAGGTGTGAATGTAAGCGTCAATGTTTGCCTGTGTCTGTGTGCCAACCCTGAGACACTCTGGCGGCCTGTGCATGGTGTATCCCACCTCTCGCCCAATGTCAGCTGGGACAAGACATAGCTCCCCCCTGGTTGTTTAGCGGTTAAGGATAATGAATGAATGTCTCTGCTGGAACTCCGTCACGAATCTCTGCTTTTTCCTCATTGTCCAATCGGACAATCGAGAGGTAGGCCTTCTGTGGTGGTTATGACAAAGAGTTTACAGCTGGCAAACAATGGAGGAGAAACTGGTGGTAGTGGTTGCTGGATACCCAGAGCTATACAGCCTGATGTTAGACAGCATATGCCTGGAAATGGCCATCATGGAGGAGAAGCTCCTGGACCAACTGGTGGTACTCCCGGGATCCACCCTCTTTTTTAGGGTCTCACGTACCCACACAGATCTCTGTTTCCCTGTGCCCAACAAACTATTTGCTGACAGCCTCTCACCCTCAACCAGAGCTACAGCAAGTACCCTCTGCCTCAACATGTCAGGAACTAGATATGATTACTGTCAAATAAATAAACAGTACATTCATTACACAGGAATGTTAGCGTCCTGTGTGATCGGGGCTTAAAGCTTCACTGTGTCCACTGAGAAAAATTACCAATAAAACCTACTAAACCAAAATCTTTATTACTAGACATGTTCCATGAGGAATATGATCCAAAGTTGGGGAGAAATTAGTCTGAGTGGGCGGAAGTTCGCTGCATAGATCAGCCTCTCATTGGGCGGAACAAGCCACCCGCTGAAGTCCTGCCCTACCACCTCCGGTTGTGTAGCAGTTTTCAACCGTTTTCAACACGTCCTTTACTAACTTTTGCGGTGTTTGATCTTGCGGGGATGTAGCCATTTTTCTGCCATGGTTCGCGTCCTGTAGGTGATATTTTTGTGGGCGTGTTACACCAAAAGAACAAGCTTTTAAGACTTCTACTTAGTGGCTGTGTTTGTGTGTAAAATGAACAGAAAATTGTCTTGTCAGGCAAGATGTACTGTAAACAAACATTCAAATGATAATGTGGGGTCTTTTGCATTTCAGTTCTACAGTGACAATGTAACCTATTCTCCCAGAATTAATTATGCTGGCACTCTCCATCTGTAAGCTTTTAAATTCAGCTGCCTACAAAGACATCCATTCTCAAGCCGATATTATTTTGCTTCTTGTAACTCCCATGCAAACCAGAGCTCACACACGCTTTGCTGTCCCATGTGCTACAGACGGTGTGGCCTCTTAACAGCAGTTCCCTGATGGGACCGTGATGCCTGATGATTTATTTTCATTTCATTACGTTTGTCTCTCTGAGCCGCTAAACTGTCAATTTTCAAATCTATATCTCCTTTGGGAAGGAGATCCTGGTAGCTTAGATGACGTCTTCAGACTAAACCCCGGTAGGTTGTCAGCTTGCAGATGATAGGCATATATCACTGTCTCACCATGCCTGATTGGCTTTCCTGTAGCCAATCAGGCATGGTGTGTAAAGAGAGGGAGCAGCTAGAGGTGAGGGTCCCAGGAAGGCAAGTCAGGCAGGTCTGCAAACCATGTTTCCTGCTTTTTCCAGGCAGGCTTGGCCTATGGTACATCATGAATATGCTGTAAGAAGCTTCTCTTTCTGCCTCACATCTGGATAGCTGCGACGATTAGTCGAGTCATCAATTATTGATCAAATGTCTTTTAACTTAAAAAAAAGGTCTGACTGCTGTTCATGAGGCTGGCGTACACAATGACTTAACAAACTGACATGAGTGCATTTTTAAAGCTCCCAATTTGATAATCTGCCAAAGGTGGTCTGAGCAAGCGCTCCCCTGAGCGTGATTAATCACATCATGACTCATCCTCTTGTGCCTAAATTCATTTTCCGTGATTAAAGTGAGAGATCTAATAGAATGACTAACACCGTGTTTAGTAAATTTACAAACAGACTTGTGTGCTGGGGGGGGGGGGGGGGGGGGGGGGGGCATCTTAAACAAATGGCCCCACAACACTCATTAAATCCAAACCTTAATTGTCATTTCTCGTTTCCTCTCCATCTCTCTTCACGCTGTATTACCATTGGCAGGATGAACTTCACGCTGTGCTTTGTGGCAGTGACTTTTTTGTTTGTTTATTTGTTTGTTTTCAGTGGACTTGCTCGGCCTGCTGAAGTGGCGCACCAACACCAGCCTGCTGCAGCAGAACCTTCGTCAGCTGATGAAGGTGGAAGGCGGCGAGGTTGTCAAGGTCAGTGACAAAAGTCATCCTGCAATCTGCTGACCACACCTTGTCTGTGGTCTTTGTTTAAATGAGTTACAAAACTGGTGCATTCAAAGCTGGAGCAAAAACTGATGATCTGGAGATTGTTTGCATGATCCTGCTTAAATCAAACTGAAATCAAAGTGTATTGATGTACGTAACCATTTAGTGCAGGTTGTACAGATTTTAGGGAAGCATTTGATGAAGCATTTAAAGATACTCTGAGAAATAACATCACAAAAATGCCAATGTAGGCACTGGCGAACTATTTCTGTTGCAGAGCTCAAAGGTTGTATCCTTGAAAAGCACCTCACCCTTTTGCCTGCATACAGATTAACAACTCAAAGCTTTAACAGTCTCAGCAGCCGGCGACATAAACAATGCACTCACAAACCTTAGTGTTCCTGAAAGTTACAGCTTCTCTGCAGCAGCTCCACAAATGATTTCACTGCCTGTTGGAGGAAACAGGTTGCTAATCTTTTTTGGGTTGTTTTATTTTTTGTAGTGAGGAGGGAGCACATAGGACCACACACAGTGTACTGAAGGGCAGGAGGTGACCTGCTGTCAGGAGTACATGCAGGCCCTTTAAGAGCTCAGCGTGCGGCAGATGAATAAATCACTCTCTAGACAAAGTTTTGCATGGGCTGGTTGGGGGCCCGGCGGATTGCAGCGTGTCTGACGAAGTCCTTCACCTAGACAGTTTTGATCGGACCAGATAGATGTGTCAACCACAGCTGGACCAGTTCATTAAACCACAGGGGTGTGATTATTATTATTACCACCACATTAGCACTCAATCTCCCCAAAGCGCTCGAGGCTGTTGGTGTGCAATTAGATAACACTTTCAGCTTGGCATTTAAAAGACAATTTATCAACGGGGGTGTACAGTACATTGTTATGGGTGTGTGCTGTATATTAGATACTATGCATAAAGATTAGATCGTAGATAAATCCTGGGAGGTTTCAGAGTGCTGTGTTTTTATCATAATACCTCTTCTGCTTTAATCACCCTAATGTGATACTGTTTCTGCGTGAACAGGTCACTCTTTCCTCGCCTCTGTCATGCAGTCTGATCCTACTGCGATCGAATCGTGCTTTAAACTCGACACAGTGCACACCGTGTTTGCTTCTCGTTGAGAGCGTGATGAATCTCATCCATCCTGAGTTGACAGACCAAGCACAGTATAGAGTGATGGCTCTGTTTCCAACACGTTTACATCTGTTTTCACGTCGCCTCAGAATTGGCTGAGTAAATGGAGCATGTTTCTCCAGAGAAGCGGGGTGTATATAGTTAGTGTTTCTGGAGGTTCTGCTGACAAGGAAATTATTGCTGTCTTCGGAGAACCATAGTGGCTCATGTTAACAGCTTTAAAGGGTGTGTAATGGGTAGCACATACTGTTGTGCTGTCAGGGCAGGAGTTCATTGAGTTACACCATACAGGTTATAAAGGCTCATATTCAACATGTTGCAGTCATAATATTTGGATTAGGACTTCATAAGAATTCCATATAATTGTTAATCAACTTTAAGTGGATTCATTTCCTAATGGGCATCAAACATGTTGGAATACAATCAACAAAATTGCCCAAATCAATGATATCCACAACTACTGAATTAAAAATTGACTATGTTAGTTATTGAAGGCTCTGTATGCAACATTCAGAACACAAATATAGCAGCAAACCCCTGTTTACTCTGTTAAGATATAGTGGAGTAATGGTGTCCTAAACAGAGAATGAAGTCACGCTCCGTCCATGTGTGTTGTAATCTAAGCTTCTCTGTTCTTCGTTGTGGTAGACGGTCCCGCCACATTTGCGTGTTAGTGCATGTAAGGACCTGTGTGTGTATCCTACTGGCGAGTTCACGGTAGGCAATCTGCAGTTCTGGAGCCACATTCAGCTTTTCAGCTCCCCTCTGTGGCTTTGACAAAAAAATTAATGGCAATGAATCACAGATTTGTTTTTAATTTTCATTTATTTTACTAGGTGGAATCTCTGAAGTCATGTTCTCTCTGATTTCAGAGAAGAATTGAATAAATTAGTGGGCAATTTCTAGAGGCTCCTTTACGAGACCATAATCTGTTTTCAGTTATGATGTTAGTTTTGTGGATTTTTAACATGATCATGATAACATGATTTAATTTGTTTCTGTAATTCATCATTGTTGTAAGCCTAAAGTGATTCTGTCATCCTCCAAATGTATAAATGTGTAGACTATACACCAAATAAAAACATGTCTTTTAACAAATTTCCAACTAAAATGTGCGTCACACGTCTACGGCCAGTGCCTTGTTTTTTTTTTTGCTAGATTTTGCCAAACCTCAGTAGCAATGGTTAGGCTGGAGTCTCTCTACCTGGGCTCGCTGTGGATTCTGAAGATGAAAAGGTCTTGGAGGAACTAGAGATTATATTGTTGTGTGGACAAATTCATTGGCTTTCACCGCTAACTCTGCAAAATTTAAGTACTAAATAATCAAAAATACCCCACTGTGTTGTTGCCACCTGGTGGTAAAATATATTAATGGATGCTTATTTAGACCAGTTGGTTATGTTGATACCTTTATTATAACACTTAAATATGTTTTAAAGGTCCAGACAGGGTTTTTTTTTTTTTTTTGAGGCAGGTTTTGGTAGAAATGGTTGCCGACCCCTGGGTTAGCTGATCTGTTCTCATATGGTGGTTGCCAGCAGTTGCGGTAACAGCGACAGCATTGTTGCAAAGTGTAATGGTCATCCCTTGTTCTCCCCCAGCTTAACACTATCAGCTCTGTCAGCACTGTTTTCATTGTTAGCATTGTTCACACTGTTAGCACCATAAGCTGCCACCCACCAGCTTAGCCACACCCATGTTGAGAACTGTATGCAGACAATCCTTGCGTTGACTCTGACTCCTAGATGATCTCTGAAAGTTTGCATTGTTTTGCCTGCATAACATGTTTTTTGCATTGAACATCAACTGCATATTTTTGCCATGTCCTGATATGTACAGTACATTAATGTCACATTAGGATAATGATTTGAACTGCCCAGCTCCAACTGGGATGTATTTTGTTCTTCAAATAGTGTTCACGCCCAGGTCTCCCTGCTCCTGATTTTCTGCCCCTTCTCTCTCCGTCAAAGATCCTTGATTTGACTGATTTTATGTATTTCAGTGTCTCTTATTACATCTCACTCTGTTACCAGGATTTTTATGTCTTGTTCCTCTTGATATGACAGATAAATTCACTCGGCCTAAGGTCATTTATCACTTTAATGTCACCGGCTGGATGTGAAACGTCCTCCCTAAAAGAGGGAAATGACTATCAATTTGACTTGGTTTGATTTAAAAGAGCAGTAAAAGCAGGTCTGCCATTTTGCAGTGAGGCTGAGACTTTCCATATCCACACTTTTTTTTTTTTTTTTTTTGAGTGCTGTGTTTTATTGTGTGCCTGCCATAACATGCTGTGTATCTGTCATTCTAGTTTCTGCAAGACACTCTGGATGCTCTCTTCAACATCATGATGGAGAACTCTGACAGTGACACTTTTGATACTCTGGTGTTCGATGCCTTGGTAAGCAAAGAAGCAAGCACTAACAGCAGAGATTTCATGTCAGTGGGAATAAACACTTAGATGCATTCAAAGCTCAGATGCAAATATAAGATGTTGTCAAATCTTTCATATGCTAAACACGTCTTTTGACTGGCATCTTTACTCTGTGTGTTGGGCCTTTTGATTTCACCAGAATAACCTGTTTGTCTGCAACTACCTGTTTTCTGTTTAAGCTGTAGCTCTAAAATAAGACAGTAACAAATCCATTTTTTGTTTTGGGATAGAACTGTAAACCATCAAAGCATCACAAGAATAATTTCACAATCTTTTTTATGTTCTGTGTTTTGATTTGTTTGAGCCATAAAGAGTCATTGTGTACTACACAAATTTCTAATGTTCAAGAGAAGAAAGGCACTGTGGCACACAAATTTTGTGACAGGATGTGTTTAAAAGTATGCAGCGTACACACCTTAACTTCCCACAAGAATGTAGAGTGTGTGCCAGGGATACGCCTCAGAGGAAAATGCCTCAACTGGGACACCTACTTGCATCTCTGTTAACACAGCATTGCAGTGCAGTCCACAAGTATTTGTAGTTTAAGGTTTGACATGTACCTTTTAATAATATAATCTTATATACTGGTTATGAAATAGCTGTGATTTCTACAGTGTGGATTTGAATGAGGCTTGGGTAGTGTATTTTTCATACCCTTCTGACATATATATGACAATTAAAACAAAAAAAGAAGATGATAGAAGTCATTATAGCATGTATGCCTACAGTGCTGTGTTTCTAATATGTAATTAGCCTACTTAGATCAGTCTTGCTTGAGTTAAATACACATGGCCCATAGAATAATCAGTGGATAGGAAATAAGTGCCTTTCTTGCACATCATTGGGCTGAGTGGAGGTGATGAGTTCAGTAAAATCATGTAGCTAATAAACTGCTTTTGTGGTTGGAAGAAGTCATCTGGAGATAAAGGCATACATAGCAATACTCCCAAACAGAGGCAGAGGCATTTTTCATTTTACTAGTCCTGTAAGGTTATCCCCACCACTCGCAGTTATCATCCCCTTTTACACTGCCAGATTTTCCACGAATGTTGGGCCGTTTTGCCGGCAAGCTGCGAGTGTTTAGACACACAGAGCCAGATTGGCGAGTTGATCCGAGGTGCCCAATTTTCCGCTTCATAGGGTAGTCATATTGGCAGAACCCTTTTAGTTTAAACAGATCGAGGCTGCTTTCCGCGGGAACGGGAGGGGCGGTTGATGACTTGTGGGAGGAGCTGTTGATGACGCAGCACGTGCAACCCACTGGTGGTGGATAAACAGGAAACAACTGATAGCAGGAATGAGCAGCTAGTAGCAAGAGAGAAACGCAAACCTGACAGACACTGTAAAGATGAGCAACTGGGGAGACAAGGAATTGCGAGCCCTCCTTGCCCTCGCAAATTAAGAGGCCATTAACCGTCAGATGACGGGGACGGTGAGGAACGGGCTGACTTACCAGAGAATCGCCGAAGGACTGACCAGCCGCGGCTTCCCTCCCTCGTCACTGTTTATGTCACACGCTGAGCTACACGTTTTGTTACTTGCTCAAGCCCCCCATTGCCCTGAAAAAGGCGCATTCTGTATAAACAAAAGTAGGTAGGCGGCATTTTGCTGCACTCTCCGATTTTGTTTTTATACTGCCAATGCTGAAAAAAAGACTGATTGGGCTTTCCTGCAAATTTGCACAATTTCTTTCTAAAAAGGGCTACCGTTTTTCTCAGCTCAGCTGCCAGTAGAGACTGACCTCTGGTGGCGTGTGCTGTGCACTACATCGTCTCAACACAGGATCTCCGCATCAGGTTTGAGAAGCTTACCGTCAGGATTTGTAAATACCCAGTTATACTGTAATACCGTGGTATCACCCAAGCCTTATTTGAACTCTCTCCACCACCAAAGTCGGTCTTTAACCAAGCTCAAGTTCTTTATTCTTTTCAGTTCTCAAACATCAGGGTGCTCACTGGATTGAGTGTGTATTATTAAAGCTGAGTCTTTACCGCAGCAGCTTGGATTCGAATGTGGCTAAGGGCCTTTCGCTGCACTTCATCCCTTCTCCCCTACCTACCCTGCATCTCTCTCATTATCAAAAATTAAAAAGGTCAACAATTACAGAGGAGTAGTTGTTGGCAGTGAAAACCCTAAGCCTCAGACAACCTCCAACAATTCTCATGAAGTATTTATTTTAAAAAAGTTCACTCAAGATAAAGCTAAATCTGAATCTAAGAAATAAAATAGGGCACATTTAAATATAGGGCTAAAGCATAATCTAGAAATACAACTTTTAGTAGAAGGTATTTCAAATGAATGAACTGAATATCAGCAGGATGTAAAGGGGAATGCAGTAAATGTATGTACATTATGAGAGTAATAAATATACACAGAGTTGTAATCAGTTGACAAAAAAGTAAGTAAATATAGGTAAAATGACAGTATAATGGTAAAGTGCTCTAAAATTGCACTGTAAATTAAATGTGGCTGACTTCCTGTTAGGTTTAGGGTATGTAAATTTGTGTTTTCCAGGATAGCAAAGGCATGACCTGCCCTACTCTACCTTACTCTGCCTCTGATTGGCTTACCCTAACCAATCTCACTCCACTTGCCTAAACCTAACCAATCCAACCAACGAAGGTGACGAGCACTAGCCAATCAGAGGGAGAGTAGGTCAAGTTATGCCTTCGCTAGGAAATGCAAATTTGCTTAGGGTAGGATTAGAGGCTTTTTTTCTAGTTTGGAGATGTTGAATCTGCCAAGTTTCATACATCTGCTTGAAATTTAAAGGTGGGGACTTTGTCTTTGCTGTTAGGGGCTCTATCGAGCCATTTTGTCACACCTGAGCCCCTCGGTCATTGTCTCATTTACACCCCATGGGCTAGATTACAGAGCCAAAACAAAATGTGTGTATTGCAGCTCACAAATTGTTCCCTATTGTTTGTAAATAAGAGCTGGGCTCATAATTTAGAGAAGGAAGTGCAGACACACTGCATCTTAGGTGGTTTCACTGCTGCATTAATCTGCATGAATTTGTAGCACCAGGGTAAAATTTCGTTCATGTTGTTTGTTGAACATTAAAGGTCTTATCTTCCTACAAGATAGAGCACATAAAAGGCCAAAGGAATTCACCTCTGTTGTGTATTAAATCAAGTATTTGTAGCCAAAGTGTCGACAAAGTATCTGGCAGAATCCTATCTGCTCTGTCATCACCTAACATCATGGGGTACATCTCAAAAGAACAGTTTTCTCTCATAGAAAAAGGAGGTTGAAATTGTGTTGTCGGGGGTCTTAGATTATCTGCAGGCTAGCGAATTGAGAGAAAATGGTTTTCTGCTCAAATGCAATCTTGTTTAATTTCCCAATCTATTTCAGCATATTGAGTAAGACAGGTTTTGCTGCTCTCCATTATGAGCCGTGCGGTTCACATCTTAATGAATATGTCTTTGCTCTCTGACAGGTGTTCATAATTGGGCTCATAGCTGACAGAAAGTTCCAGCACTTCAACCCTGTTCTTGAGACCTACATTCGGAAGCATTTCAGTGCCACGCTGGCGTACACGTGAGTTTATCGCCCTCTATACAAACAGACCAAGGGCATTTACAGCGATCAATTAGACCCCACATTGTGTTGAACAGATTTAACAGACTCTGTGGGATTATGTTTGCAGGAAGTTGACCAAAGTTCTGAAGAACTACGTGGACAACGCTGAGAAGCTGACGGAACAGCTGCTGAAGGCCATGAAGGCTCTGGAGTACATCTTCAAGTTCATCGTCCGCTCCAGAGTCCTCTTTAACCAGTACGTCCTCATGCACACTAGATGTACATATTGTGATACTCTGACAAAGGCCAGTACATTGATGACACTGTGGATACATATCAATTTGTATATATAAATATTTCATATACCATACCAACGACTGTCTATAAAGATGAACAACATGTCTCCACCTCCTCCCACTGACCAAAAATGAAGCCAAAATATCCTGAATACATCCGCTGCCATCTTGTGCTGGGGATGTCATTTGGAGCCAAACTGCTTGTTAAATCCAAACTTATCAGAAAATGAAAACACACCAGTATCATAAGACCTACCTGAAAACTACCTTATCTTTTAGTTTGGTTCATGTTCCGTCTGCTAACATGGAGTTGGCGGGGTTTTAATGATCTATACTGCAGCCAGTCACCAGGGGGCGATCAAGATGGTTTGGCTTCACTTTTGGGGAGCTGTCATGCCATTCATCTTTATTATTCATATTTTATTTATTTATTTATTTATTTTTAAATTTCCAGAAAGGTAAGTGTTGCTCTAACTTTTTAGAATATAAAGGACGTGGGTCATATATCATTGACTACAACGTGAGTTGCAGACTGTTTCGGGGTAAATATTACAGTAGGCTATGCAAACACTGGACCCTATGCAGGCGTGTGTGTATCCCATATATATGTATATCCAACAATGGACACATAAGCATCCGCAGATGGATACAATCTAACTGGCACCCCCTGATTTAAAAGTAAGGGTATGAAGGGCCACACTGTATGCAAGTAAAACAATCTGTTTGTTTAATTATGGATCACCAAAAATACAGTCTGCTATATTCTTACAGAGAGAGAAAAGTTAATCATGTGTTGAAATCTAACATTTTGATGCATCGATAATCATTTTATAATCGAATTGTTACCCTCCGAATCGCGAGGTGCCTGGAGATTCCCACCTGTAGTATTTTCGTATTTTCTTCTTATATTTCTGGGCCTGTCTTTACTCAGGTAAGGACAGGCTTTATAAAAAGTTAGGGGCCAGGTGCCAGACCATAAGCAGCAGGCATCCAGGAGGCACAGCTCTGAAAAAATTCACATATAGTGAGGCAAACTGCCAAACAAGAGTGAATCTGGGGTTGGCAGGGTGTGTTCAAAAACAGAAACTGACAGCCCTGGCTCTTACAACTTTAAGCAAGTGTTTCATTGTCATTTCATAGTACAAAATCAACATTGTGTGCAGTGTTTTCAACTGCTGTGGAATGAAGTTGAAACGGGTAAAAGTGATTGGTCTTTACGGTGAGCTAATTTCTACGGATGTGTTTATAATTGGCTCTGGAGATGTTAGATGGATGATAATGTTGGAGAGCCGCAGAATGAAGCTGTTGGTGGCAGAGGGGCTGATGTATGATCCCGGTCTAATTGAGTGTGCAGAGTTTGATTGGTTTTTGCTGGATGTCTAGAGGACGCTTCGTCCTTTACCTCACGTATCAGACTGCAGTGATGTCACTCTCTCATGTAGGGCTGTCCATGTTCACAGTGTGTTAAGTGGTTTCTGTCACAGGATAACAGGCAGCAGCCTCCAACTTTAAAGTGGACCTCCTGTCTGTGTTTTGTCATTGCTGAAGCACTTGCTTTGGTTGGTTGCCAGTATCAGCGCTGTTGTTGCTGATTTAGACTCAGAGTTAGGAATTCTTCAAAGCTGTAAAGCCGCGTTTGTTGAAGCCCTTCCTGCAGCACTGACTAGAAGGTGCCAAGGCTACATCAGCACGTGTTCGGCTTTTCATTGCGGGCCAGTGGAACATTTCTATGAAATGGCAGAGGAGATGCTCTAATCACACGCTTTCCCCCTGTGACTTGAGACTGGTGTGGCTGTCAGGAGCTCACTCTGCTCCCTGGTGCTGCAGGTGAGAAGCAGCTTTAAGTAATTGTTGTTGTGGGAGCCCTGAGACGGATGCCTCTAATCCTATGATTTCTGTAAGCCCTCAACAGTGACTATCCTGGACCATGTAATACCTGCAGCCCCATGAGAGATTGTAGCACCACAAAACCCTCCTCTCTGGAAGAAAGCCAGTGAAATCTGATGCGGTGGAGCAATCTAAACACTTCACCCCTCTTTGACCTGCCTCCCTCTGCTTCAGTGTGTGTTTTCAAACATTTTCAATTTCTCTCACAAATCCAAATTTTTAATTCATTAAATCTGAGTGCTTGACACACTTAATTACCTTGCAGGGAGCACAACGTGGCTCAGTTAATACCCAGTTTGTGGAGATTTATGGGCTCTGCAAGTGGGATCAAAAGCATTTGCATTTTTGGGGGGATTATGGAGGAAGCCCTGCTTTGTGTTCCCCATGCACTTAGAAAATTGGGGGAAGTGTTTTCTACAATTGTTCTGTGATCACTGGCTTGTAGTAGCTGCAGTCGCTGGGCAGCATGTGCTCCACATAACCAAACTGGCAGAAGAGACATTAGTACTACTACGGCCTAGACATTATTAGAAATGATTAGAAAGTAATGCCACTGAACCCTCACATGACATTTGCTTTCTGTTCCTCGTATAGTATTCGAGGAGCGCCATTAGCATAGATCATTAATATTTCTGAATTTTGTTTCCACATGACAGCAGGCAGGTGCTTCAGGGTCTTGTCATGTTGTTTTAAATGCTAATCTGGCTGGCAGCTAGAGTGATGTCTGTGGCTCTGATCCAATAATATTTGCATTGATAACACACATGGGCCATTCTGCTGGCTGCTTTTAATGATTTAACAGGGAAGCATCAAACTCTTGTTATTTCCACTGCGGGCGGGGCTGTTTACACAGGGATGAAACAAACAACAGCCTTGTGATCATCTGCCAATGTAATTCTCCACTTCATCTCCTCCCAGGCTCTATGAGAACAAAGGAGAGGCCGACTTCATGGAGTCCTTGAGGAACCTTTTCACATCCTTTAATGACATGATGAACAGTAATTCAGAGAACACTGGCATGGTGAAGGTAGGCCGACTATCACACAAGTCCAACTGCATGCTATCTCTCAAAGTCAGTGCCAAGAAAACGCTACTGTTGCTGCTGCGTGAATAGTAAATAACTGCTGCTGTGTGAATAGTAAATAAATCTGCTGTGATTTGCTTTGGATGACATGCTCTGTAATTGGAGATGCATCTGTCTTGTTAGATGTAAACTAATACAGCAGCTTATTAGACATTAATGTTAGTGCTCTGTGTGTTGCTAATGTTAGGCTGCTGCACACTGATGGTCTTAATGTCTTGTATTATCTGTTTCTTTCACCTTTGTCACATCTCTTTGTGCAGATTTGCCTGTTCTTTACTCTCATTTGCTCTCCATGTGACCTTGGTAGGGCTGCACATAAAATAAAACAAGGTATATTACAGAGCATCTCAAATAGGTACTTACACTTCCTCTCCTGGCATTGATTAAACTCCTAAAAACTTATCTCTGTTCATCAGAATTACACATTCAGGAGTTTATTCCATGAAAAAAATCTCTTTACGCCTTAAAATGGATTCGATGTAACTTTACACATTGGCCTCGTTTGGTATGCGCAGAGCTATGAACATGTAAATTCACAACACCCCTCTGCTGTTCTCCTGCAGCTGGAACTTACCTGCTTACATTCAGCTCTGCTCATCAAACACATAAAACTGTAGTTGTAAACAGTAATAGCCAACATGAGCCTTTGACTACCATATCAAACAGCTAATAATGTGCTACCTAAGTTAGATAAACCTTGTTCCCAAACACCAGCTCAGACACGTTGAAGTGAAAGTGAAAGTAAGCTTGCAAAATACCGATACGTAGCCTGGCTTCTCCTCTTAGCCTGTTTTGCGGCAGTGTTATTGGATTGGTTCCTTACGTTTGTGACATAACAAACCCTGGCTGTATGAATCTGTGCTTTTGAAAATGCGCAGCTTTGGTGTTGACTGCCTGTCTCACTCATGATTAGGGATGGTCAACACAAGCAAAAACACTATTCTAAAATCGTGGCAAGTATTTGACAATTTTTCGAATAGTCGCCCCCGTTCACATTTCTCTCTTTTAGTCTTTCAGTGGCAGGTAACGGCCCACAAACCTCACAGCACTTTAGGGACTGTTCTTTACTTGTCAGGGGAGGAGGGTGGCTGGTTGATTTTTATTTTATTTATTTATTTTATTTTGATCCCCCCTATGTTAATCACTTATTGATGCCGTTTTTGAAGTATGAATAAGTCAACAAGTAATTTATTCCATTGAAATATCATTGATGTATTATAGAAAAGTGATTTATCTTTTTATAAATGACAAAAGGCACATCTGCCTCATTTTTGTTGTGGTATCTTGATACTACTCAGAACTGTTATACTTTCACTGTTATCGTACTGTGGGTCCCAATTTTGGTACCGTGACAACACTAATCTGGAGGGGGTTCATCTGCAAAAACTAATGAAAAACTAAAAAACGGTATTCGGTATTTGGTACTCGGTATTCGGCCAAGCGTTGAATATTATTTGGCTTCGGCCACAAATTTTCATTTCGGTGCATCCCTAGTTTGTACAGTGTTGAAAAACCTGGAAAAGTCATATAATTTGAAAATTGCAATTTCCAGCCCTTGAAAAGTTAAAAAACAAACAAAAAACAACAACAAAGTTTTTGAAAAGTCATGGAAACTTGCTTCATAAATACCTGTATAATAGAGTGCATATATACCGTAGATCAGTTGCATCACTCTGTATGGGTAACATCAGACTTCAGCCTGAGTTGCACCTTCCGCTTAGTCCAAATGTAAATTCACACAATGCCTGGAAAATATTATATACTGATGTCTAGTTTCACTTGGACAAGTATAATGCATGGCATAAAAAAGACCAGGACTTGTGTGAAATGCAGACTGCGTAGTTGAACTTTTGACCTTTCAAAACATGAAAGAGGGATCACTAGCTAGCCATGCTAAACAAGCTAATGTTGAGCACCAGGCTATTGCTACTGCTACTGCTGCTGCTGTGCTTTCCTTTCATCCACCATCAGACAAAAGACCATTTCAGGTGCTGTGTCCAGAACTGAAACCCTAACTGCAGAGGTGCTATGGACACTAAAGGTGGCTAATTCTCATTAACGTTACTCCCACAAGTCATGTGAAAACATAAGCCAGCTTTTCCTCAACAGCCAGATAGCTCCCAGATTTACTGTGGTGAACACAAGTGCTCATTTAGAGTATGTGTAGGAAATTTTAAATTTTGACGTGGATTTTTATTCATATTTGTCATGTAACGTTACACAGACGCTTCAGAGAAAGCATTGTGACAATCTGCTTCAAAGGCGTGGAAAAGTCGTGGAAATGTATCAGTGAAAATATGTATGAACCATGAAGTTTAAATACTTACTCACCCACTCTCTAATCCCGTTCTTATGTCTGTAAAACAAAAATGAAGCTAGCACCCAGTCATCTTAGATTTGATTAGCCTTAAGACTGGAGACCGGCAGGAACGGCTTGCCAAAGGTAACAAAATCAGCCCAGCAACCCCTCTGATGCTCATTAGTTTACACATTTTATCTTGGGCCAAGGTAGAGCCAAGGTAGCTGTTTCTAGTTTTAATGCTAAGCTAAGCTAACTGTCTTCTGGGTGTTGATTTATACAGTATTTACTGCACAGATTTGAGAGTGCTATCGATCTCCTCATCCAGCCCTCACCAAGACAGTGAGTAAGTGTATCTCCCAAACTGTTGAAGATTATGGCTCAGCCTGGAACCTCAGTACTTTTTTGTTATTGACCGAAATGCATCTGCAGCAGCAAAAAAAAATCAAGAACTGAATTATTCAAGGCTTTACTGTGCAGCCCTAACCTTTCAGGTTTTTCTTGCATCCAAACACATGATGTATGTTTGAGCTGTGCTGTTTTCTTTTGTCTGTCTGTACTTGTATGTGTTTGTTTGTGTTTTTCCTCCCTCTCCGTTTCACTCTGACCTTGACTGTCCTGTGGTCTGGGGCTCCTCTGGCCTCTAGCTCCTCCTTAAGGTATTTATTTCTCTGCCTTTGCTCCTTGCGCTTTTAAGCTCCTTTCTATTGTGTTTGCATTTCATTGTCCTTGACCCCAAACTGAGTGACTCCAGATACGAAACAAATCCACCAGCGTATATATATATTTTTTTTGCAGATGCACTCGAAACCACACGTGCGCACACACGCTGATGTGCACACACCTATGCTTCTAGAGATAACATAATCACAGCGTACATGCACCTTGGCACACCTACAGTAGATCCATGTGCACGCTCAACCATAGGAGCAGCTCAGGAGTCAATTAGGAGTCAGTTGCTGTGTAATTGGGTGAGATATTAGCTTTACTGTCAGTAAATTAAAAACTGATCTTGAGGAACGGGCACGAAAGCGAGGAATGCTGGTTTCTTCCCAAGTCCGCCCTTGTGAAAGCACTGTGACAGGTGGAAGCTAATGAGAAGTCCCATCATACCTCAAGTCTGAATCCTGATGAACATCTGGACAGACCGACACATACACACACACACACACACACACACACGGTGGAAAACTTTGATAAACACACACACACACACACACACACACACACACACACACAAATAAATGCATACTTCTGGTGACTGTGAGGCACATGCAGGAGCAGGAGACACAACTCCTCTGAGACTTGTTTTGACACTTCACACATCACATCCCTGCACAACAGGTGGGAATTAAGTTGTTGCTGAGAACAAAGTAAAAAAAGACGTTCTGTTAAAATTGCTTCTTCAAGGGGTAAACAGATGCAGTTGAGCAGAGCCAGGATTGCTAATTGAATCAAAGTCGAACACCAACTTTTGAAATCCAAGTTTCAGTCTCCCCACCTCTCCCTGTCTGCAGAGAGATGTGAAGGTTATTTACAAGCACTAAAAATACTTATTTAGATGAGAGGATTTTATTTGGAGGTCACGACTAGATCCATGTGTGAAAAATCAAGCTAGAGACACTGCAGTGTTCAGACTCTGCCAGAGATGTTCAGAAATGTGTTCCTCAGAAAGGGTTTCCAACAGAATTTTTGTTCACATCATTACGTTTTCTGAAGTCGGTAACAAAGTATTTCCTCCTCCTTTGAACATGGCTAATTACCTTTCACGTATTTTCAGAAATAAATCATGCACAATAACAAACAGCGGATTGTTGCCGGTGATGTTCAGTGTGCTGTATGGCTAATCAACCTCTGCGAGACAGACTGGCACTGCTGCTAATTTGCACAGATGCTGTATAAACACCCCAGCCCACCTTGGCCGGCATTTAGCAGCAGGCAGTTAGAGAGGGAAGTTTCAGCTTGCTTAATCATTCCCATTATTAATGGAAGGCTCTGTAATCAGCCACTGGGTGCAACTGATGTCTGTATTACAGTATCGATGGGTAAGTGTAGATTGTATCTGGCTGTGTCTATCAAGGTATCATTACAGAGAGATCTTCCTTTGGTCCCAGTTTATTTATTGCAAGCCTTAACAACACCCCTCTGGCCTCAGGTAGACTGAATGTAATAAATGAAGATACAGTGGGAAGGAGTTGATTAAAGCATAGCTGCTCACAGTATCAGACAAACACTTGGTAGAAACAGAGCAGCAAACACACATCACAACAAATTTATTTTTGGTCATCAACTATTTAATTGTTCTGGTTCATGGCTCACAGTAGGCAAAATGTGTACTACTACTGCATGTTATTCTACTGAGAGCCACACTGTTTTTATTAGTGGAAGACACAGAATCAGACACGTTTACACTTAACTACACACAACGCAACGACACGCAATTCCCACCTTAATGTGTCTCATAAGGTTGGATGGAGGAGCTGAAATATCAATCAATGACTGAACTAATTAACATGGAGCTGAGGATGATGTGGTAATGGATTCTTTTTATTTTTCTCATTAAGGGTGCTGCACTGAAGTACATTCCTACCATCGTCAACGATGTCAAGCTGGTCTTTGATCCAAAGGAACTAAGGTAACTTTATATGCTCTATTGTTGTTACAGTGACACCTACAACACAGAGTTATAATATGTAGGGATACACTGATTTATTGGCCAAACGTCCATATTGGCTGATATTCACCTTGTTGACTGTAGTTGACATTCACCGATGGCGGAAGCAGAAGTCTTTCTGTTGTGTCACATCAATTTTGTGCAGGTTAAAAAGCAGGGGTCAAGCCTAATGGCGCTCCGACGTCCCGGGGATAGTAGAAAACGTGTTTGGGACAAACAGAGATCTTCCCCGGGACACCTTCAAGACGAAAAGACGCAGTAAAGATGCAGTAAAGTGGGCTATTGACGTGCTGGGTGAAGCATTTTCTTCCCTAATAATTAGGGCAAAGTATCTCCACTGATATCCTGAATTGATTCGATTTTGATTCACAAGGTTACAATTCAAATTGGTTTGCAATTCGATTCAGTATCGATTTGATTACGGATATTTCAGTTACAATACCAATTTTGCTAGTTTGTGAAAGAGATTCTCAGAGAACTAATACTGTATATCTTACAAGGAACTATTTAAAAAAAGACTAAATTCAGAACAGAAATAAACCTGAATATTTTATGACTAAATGTCTCTAGAGCAGCAACAGTAAAATTGAAACAGCAAACTCACAATATAAACTCAATATCTCACTGGAAACACATCTAAAATGTTAAGAAAAGAAATCCTATTCCTTAAATCACAATACTGAGTGAAGTTTAGAAAGAATAAAGAACTCAGTCCTTCTGTCCTCTCTGCTCCACCCTCTGCTGCTGAGGAGAGTCACTGCCTGCAGGTCACAATACCGTTGTTAAGTTTTAAGTTTTGTGGCAAACTGAGCTAAACTGTTAGACAAACAGTTGTTGTTTTGGCTTGTTAGTAACAATTTCCCATCAGCTGGAAAGCGCTCTGTGCTTCTTCAAAACATAATGTTAGTACCAGTGTATGAGAGACTGCGGACAAAGCAGAATGAAATATAATTTTCCTACCTGTTTTCATGTTGCTACACAGGTGTACTGACTTTTTCCTCAAGGAGGTTCTCTGTCTCCACCGCGGCATCTCTACTTGTTTCTTTTTGTGTGTTTATGTGTGTGCGTAAAAGTGGCGCAGCAGCCCCAAAGCTGCTGCAGCACGATAATGAATCACACCAAAACGTAAAACAGTAAGCTAACAGTTACAGATAAAAGCACTGGTAAGGTCAGAGCTTCTCAAGACTGTGGTCGTTAATAATTTAGTGCCACGGCCGTTTACTACAGGAGACATTAACGGGGTTAAAGCTTCACAGATCCATGCAAATCCAAAAAAGCGTGTATCGAAAGATTGATCTCGGATTTTATGAATCAGTATCGGGTCATTCAAATGAAGATCGATTTGAATCGAAAGAAATCTGTGTTTACATTGGCAGGAAGAGAGCTCGTTAACTTTAGTAGGCAGCCAGTAGCCGGAACTAACAGCTAACGGAGGTTGCATTGAGTGACATTGTGAGCTGTACATGCTCAGTTCAGTAGAAATGAGTAATTTGAGAAGGTGAATTATGACGCACTCATGCTGTGTTTAAAAGCAGTCTTGTAGTCTTGTAGTTTTTGGCGAGAAACTAGAATATAAATAGAGTTCTTTAAGGGAGAAATTTGATGATGTTTTCACAGCAGTATAAAGTAGATAGTAGATAGAAAGGCTGTAATGATGTGTAAAGTAAAAATGCTTTTGAAGCAATGACATAAAAAGATATTTTTCATGTGAAAGAACTTTATTTTTTAAGGATTTTTATAAATATGTATAATTAAATTTGTGCTTATTGATGAATAGTGTAATAAAGGGCTGAATAACTTTATAACAGTTTATTTTTTTTTAATGAATGTGTGTGAATTTTGATGCATCCCTAATAATGTGAGGGAAAAGTTTTCATTGGAAGAGTTGAACTGAGCTCTTTGTGAACAGTTAATGTACTTCTTTCTTCCTTTGTGTTTTTTCTGGAGAGCACCAGGGCAGCACATCAAAGCAAATGTTTGGAAAATGCCCACATTGGACTTAAATGTCATTTTGCTGAAGAATGAAAGGCGAAATCTTAATTGCTTTTGTTTTTCGAAGCATCCACTTAAACTAAAATTTCATGTGTAGATGACTCCCTAACAGCCTAATGGGACATTGTGCCTCTGCAAAGACTTGAAAACACCATTTATTTATTTATTTATTTATTGTGTCTGGCTCTCTACCTTAGGCTGTTTTTATTCAGCAACTTTACATTCAGTAGCTGTACTGAGATGGGCAGTGGTTAAACGTGCTCAGGTTGCCTTGGAAACGCACCAACTGCTCCACTCAAGTGTCCATTTCAGTTAATGTTGTCTACCGTGAATGTCATCTGGCACAGCTTAATGCTTGTCTTAATAATAAATGACTTCTGAAGTGTCACATGCTGATGTAACTGCGGTACCAAATCATACATTTATAGTTATGTTGGACAAAATGGAAAAGAAAACTTGATCATCCATCTCAAGGACTTTCTCTTACATTATAGAAATGAATGGACTTTAAATTTGAAGTGGCCAAAACTTAATTTGTATTTTTAGGGCAGTGTTCCAAAACTGAGAGGACATTTCATTTGTGACAAATGCCTCATGGACGTGCCCTTGATTTTCTGGCCCATTTGAATTTCTTTAATCTGTTATGCTATAAGGACACAGCACCAAAAAAAAAAAAAAAAGTTGGCCTCGTTTATGGAGCGTTATATTTACAAATATATGAAGAAAGCTTCACTAATGTATTCAGTGAAATACTTCTCAGCTGCAAATGAGTCTTTGAAAACACATTTTCATTCAAACATTTTTATCATCTGTAAATATTTAGTTCAAACAAATACAGTCTAACATGAGTCACACTGATTGTCTCATAATAAAATATGCATACCGCACACAGACGGTTGCATCAGTAGGAAGGACACACTGGGAAAATAAGCAAGTTGCTTCAGACCAGGCTGTTTCTAATGTTTGTCTGTTAAAACTCACTCTCTCCCTTAATCATTTAATATTCCTTCTGTTGAAAGTTAGTAAAAGGTTGAATTAAAATGTCTGTGGGAAGTGGCAGAGCCAAAACTGGCACACTTGCCGCTCTTTCTTTGGGCTATTTTAAGATAATTTCTGCATTAACGAAAAGCTTTACATGTTGGGTCGAAAAAGGTTTCTAGCTTTAAAACCTGAAGTACAGTTTCTCACAGCAAAGCCACATATTTGATGATTCAGGCGGGTGTTTATATCATCTAGTTGCTAAATTAATCAAAAAAGATGAGACAAGATGCTGACGGGATCTGTCCGCCTCCGCTTAGTCAGACTTATTAGGGGAAACTTGGTGTTGTTGCACATTATTTCAGCAAATACTTTACCATCTAAAAACACCCTAGACACTGGGACCTATTTTTATGGTGAATCAAACACTGGCACAAGTAGAGCTGCTATATGTAAGTATTTTCCCAGACCTTGAAATGTGCTTTGCCTGTTCATTTGCAAGCACACAGCAAGGAGCCCCTTCCATTTGCCCACGTCCAACACCTGGGCAGCAGCCATTCTCACAGCAGATTCTGGGCCACACAGGACTTCCAATCCCCACCTCTGGCCTCGGCTCCACTACACCACTATCGCAGCCGCAGTGAACGGGGGGGTCTTTTGTCGAGGTGGAAGACAGTCTTTCAGCCCATCCATTCCATCTACACCGTTTGTCTGTTCAGCTCTAGCCACTTCCTCGAATGATTTCTTTCCCACTGTCCCTTTGGATTTAATTCTTTGTCACTTGTCCTCAGTGTGGGACGCTGAATCGGTTTCAAATAAAGTGCTCACTCTTTTTATGTCATTATGATAAGGCACAATAAAAGTTTGAGATTTTAAAGATGATTCATTGATGGCTTCCCTTCATTCCCTCCCTGTACTGTGCAGCCAAAGCAACCATATGCTCTCCAGCTACATGGTTAAGTACAGTAAAACACAAAATTGGCACATTTGTGGAGACATTTTGGACTGCTGTCAGGACATGTTGATTGAATTATTGGGTCGCACCTGTCTGGTTGACAGTTCCAATGTAGTTCATTGTAAAAAGTATTTGTGTTTAAGTCGACAGCGTAATGTGAACTCTGCCATCTTTTCTGTAGTTTGAGAGGAAACCACATGAGGAAACTTGATCGCAGCTTTAATTCTGAAAGCGGCGCTTCTTATGAACCATTCACTTACCTATAAATCACAGGCCTGGCTTTTTTTCATGCCTGAGTAAAGGTGGCATCAGCTGTTCCCGTTGTTATGGCAAACCTGGCTCAGCGTCTGAGCTGGAGGCGACTAAATTGAAGCCTTGGGGGCGGGGGGTGATTCATCCCCTGCCAGAACCTTTTCTCTCCTCCTTGAGCCTCAGCTTGCCAGCACAACAAGCATCTGGCCTCTTCATTGAGGAGAAAACTGTCAGCTTTATGTGTGTGCATGAATGCACATTTATCTTTCAGGCTCTAAATTGCCGCATGCTCATAGTTTGATCTTGAGCTACATGTTGGTTGTGTTAACAAAAAATCATAAAAATATTTAGTTGAATAGTATGTGCAGGCATAAAGGGATGTATAGAACGGGAAACTCTTCAGGACAACAGCTTTGTGAAGAGAGAAGCAACATTTAAAGTCTACCGCAGCCATTGAAGGTGAAGGCCACACACACCCACACAGGTGTTTTCACTCATCTGGACTGATTAGACTCCTCTCAGGGCTGTGTGGGTGTACAGACTGTGCTTGATCGACATTTCTCTGACTCCACTGGCAGTTTTGTTGATCCTGTGGGGAAATTTAGACTTTTATCATTTTAAATCTATGAAATTTAGAGACCTAAGCGAACATCCTGCAGGAAAACAGGTCTAATTATTTGGTACCAGGTGTGGACCATATGGATAGATTTTTTATTCAGTGGAGGACATCCCATTATACTTCATTCTACTTAACTTAGACCTGTTGCCCTTGTTCGTGGACACATTTTTGTGCTATCTTGTGGTAGTAATAGCACAATACACTAATCCATGTAAAAACAAGATGGCAGCCATCTCTGCCAAGTCAGTCTGCAGCCGACCCCAACAAAAAAGTGGACAAGGTCCAAAACCTGATCACATTTTATGGTTGAAACTTAATTTATGATTAATAATGTTTGTAGTTTGATATGGTCACAAATTTGGCCAATTTTAGCGACAGTAACAAGCTAAGACATTGTTAATTAGGAAGTACTAGTTTGAAGACATTGGGACTTTATTGTCGTCTCATTTGAGGACATTGGGACTTTATAATCATTGAAAATGTTTAATTTTTTGTGCTTATCAGGTCCTACTGATCCCAAATAGCTGGGAGAAATAAAAAATGCACAACAAACAAAAGCTAAGGTCGCAGGAGGATGTAGTTTACAAAAACCTTTTGGCCCAAGGTCTCATCACAGGATATTTTCAAGAGCTCTCAGCCAAATATTGTGGCCTTCATCACCACATGGAATTCACTCAGTCGTTATCGTGTGATCATGTCATTTGGCATGGCTGTATCTCAGGATGATTTGATCCCTGCAATGTTCATGTCGAAGTGTCCTTGGGAAAGATACTGAACCCCAAAGGAGGCGTTTTAATGAGTGATCTCCATGACAACCGAGTAAAATCCATTGCTGCGTCCCAAATTCCATACTAGCATGCTATTTAACACACTGATAGTATTTGAGATTTTTTAGTTCATTTGCAGCCTTAGTATGAAAACCAATAGTACCTGGCTTGTGTACAGTATGCAAACACTGGACACTAAACCAGCATAAATATCCAACAATGTACTGCAGTAGTGACGACAGCGTACATAACAGACACCGTCAGACAGCTCTTTAACATCAATTACGCTACATATTGAGTGTAACTAGAAGATTTCCCTTTTTTAGGCGTAATATATGGAAGAACAAACAAAAAACCAAGACGTTCATCTTGCTTGCTGTCAGGTATGAAAAATGCTGGTAGAGCTGTAGTTGGCACGGCTTACTATGGTTATGTGTCTTTGACCGGCAAGGTCCAAGAAGAAAATTTTGCTGCTCACAATAGTCTTTTCTTTGTCGCATCAGAAATAACTCTCTGTATCTCCTAGCCCGTGAGGAGCAAAAGAATAAGTCAGTTCTTTTAGCGAAATTGCAGCGTACATACAACGTTACAGAGTATTTTTGCTGTGCTCATAGGCTCCTCAGAGGTTGCTCAACTCTGAGAACCTAAAATACACAAAGTTGAGACTTGAATTTGATCACTGAGACAAATTTATGAAACTGTGCAGGCTCATTTACAAGCCAATCAAGTTTTCTTCTGGATCTTATTGTTATCTCAAGGGCTGATTATTTCAGACAAAGATTACTGCAGTGAGAGAGAAAAAAGAGTATTTTAAGATCTTAAGATCAGACAAGAGGAAGGCTATTTCTCAGGAGCTGAATTTAAGAAGTATGAGAAAATTGTCAAAATCATATTTTGTTATATTGAGCTCGCTTACGTCTAGGAGTAATAGGCTGGACAAAGAAGACATCTTATTTTGAATTTTCCTTTCCTCTGGGGAGGCACTCAGGGAGTGACATAATAATTATGGATCAGTGCGTCCACAAAGATTCATATCTGTTTATTCACATAAAAGAATGTTGAATGATAGTGCACATATTGGGTATGCAATTCATACTAGTATGGGATTTTGAACGCAGCGCATGTGCTGATGAAGGCCATGAGATGTAGCTAAAATAGAAAAAATGTCCATTAAGTGACCTTTGTGCTAAGATTCTTTTGTCAAATTAGTATTTCCAAGGTCATTAATACCCTTTTACCACCAAAATTAGTGCATATGTGCAGGTTTTTTTGAATGATGGAAAACTCAATTAAAATAAGTGATAGACTGCTTTTACATTCCCAGTAGGCCAGAGCTGTGTACAAGGCTCTGCAGCTGATGAGCATGCCTTTCTGATTTTTTTGTTTTGTTTTTGGGATGGGTCATGTTCAACCCCACATATGAGCTGAAAAACAGGTTAGTAAACAGTAGAAATCAGCATGAAGGCCACTGGGAAAAAAGTCATGGTTGTTCATTTTTGTTAAATGTCTTTTGCTTATTCAGTCTCTCTCAAATTTGGTCTTTGAAAGATGTGTAGGCGCTGCTTGGGTAAAGACTGTATTTTGTGGCATTTCATGATTGCATCACATCGGTAAAGGGGCTAAAAATATTGCGGGCACTCGGGTGTCATATTTCCATCACTGCCGATTGAAGCCAGTAAGTAGCTGTGACTGCTACAGAGTCATTTGACCTGGGAGTGAATGCTGAATGTAAAGCCCCTTTTACACTGCCAGATTTTCTGTTGGGCCGCTTTGCCGGCCAGCTGCGAGCGTTTAGACACACAGAGCCGGATTGGAGAGTTGATCCAAGGTGCCCAATTTTCCGCCTTGTAAGGTAGTCACATTAGTGGAACCCTTTTAGTTTAAACAGAGCGAGGTGGCCTTCCGCAACGGGAGCGGCTGTTGATGACTTGTGGGAGGAGCTGTTGATGACGCTGCACGTGCGACCCACTGGCGGTGGATAAACAGGAAACAGCTGATAGCAGGAATTAGCAAATAGCTAGTAGCAAGAGGGAAACACAAATCTGACAGACACTGTAAAGATGAGCAACTGGGGAGACAAGGAATTTCGCACCCTCCTTGCCCTCGCAAACGAAGAGGCCATTAACCGTCAGATGACGGGGACGGTGAAGAACGGGCCGACTTACAAGAGAATCGCCGAAGGACTGACCAGCAGCGGCTTCCTTCCCACGTCACTGTTTACGTCACACGCTGAGCTACATGTTTTGTTACTTGCTCACGTCCCACGTTGCCCTGAAGAAGGCGCATTCTGTATGAACAAAAGTAGGCAGGCGGCCAATGCCAATGCTGAAAAAAGACTGATTGGGCTTTCCTGCAAATTTGCACAATTCCTATCTAAAAATGGCTTAAGTTTTCCTATGAAATACAAAAGCTAGATGTAAGTGGGTGTGTAAATGGGCTTTATAAACCTTTAAGATTAATTAACATTGTAGTAGCAATATACATTGTAATGTGGCACATTCTCTGTGATTTAGTCAGGAGACCTTTCATAGAGGAGGGAATAAATACCTGAGAAATAAAGATACTTCATCACATAAAACTTTTGTAAAACAATCACGATCCTTGTCATTGATTTGCAACATTGACTGCTGTCCTCTAATGCAATCATAGCTATCACTGGTAGCGAGCTGTTCTCAGAGTTCACCCCAGATCGGTTCCTCTGGGTCAGCTGACAAATCTCTTTTGTCTCACATTGTCATTTCCTCCAACCCCTTGCCAAAATATCTGTGAAGTACCTGTGTGGGTGTGCAGGGCCTTTAATTGCGTTTTGGATGGTTGCTCGTGATGGGAAGCAGTCAACCAGCCTAAGATGCCTGATCAGTCTGACCTTTCGTCTTTATTGTCCTCCTTCTGTCTCCGTAGCAAGCTGTTCACCGAGTTCATCTTGAAGGTTCCTCTGGGTCGCCTGGTGAAACAAAAGCTAGACTGTCTGATTGACATCGTCCACAGCGATCTCTTCGCTCATCACGGTGAGAGCACACACACACACACAAACTGTACTCACAGTTATTCAGTGTGTGCACCTTCACTCATGGTGCAGTAATATAGGCAATCACACACACCACCTGCCTCCTCTTGCCAGCTCTGTATGAGCTCCTAGTAAAGGTCATTGGTGAGGCGTAGTGGAAATCCCTCTTGTTATTTAAGATAGTTAAGCAATCCCACTGCTAAAATCACCGGAGCTTGTCTGTATTAGAATATCAGTATTCCCATCTGCTTGGTCTTCAAGTCTTCACCCATCATTTCCTCTGCGTTTTACTATTTAATCCCCTTTCTATAAAGTGTGTTTAGCAGGTGTCTTCTCCTTTTCCTTGTCTCACCCCAACAGCACTCCAATATCATGCACTTTCAAACAAACTCTTTCATAGTACACATGAGCAGCGTACTGTTGTATATTTTGGCCATGTTGCAGTAACGTTAAATATGAACAGCAGGGTTGTTGATGAGAGTCCAGTCCAGCCTCTCTGCAGCCAGGCTAGCCTGTGGCGTCCTGCAGTCGGGCCCTGCTGCAATGATGGTTGAGGGGCCAAACATTTTTGCTGCAGGCAGCAGTCCTCTGAGGCCATGTTAGGTTAGGTCCTGATTTAGAGAGAGAGAGAGAGAGAGAGAGAGAGAGAGAGAGAGAGAGAGAGAGACACACACACACACACACACACACAGTACTGTCCTGTGGTGGTAAATTAAATGCAAAGTTCCTAACCCAATGAAATAGCAACAGTGATTTAATGTGGCTGGCAGGGACAGCACATGCCTCAAAGCAGTCGGCTAACGTAAAACAAGTGGACAACAATTATCCACTTGCCCGGCTGCTCTCCTCCTCCACCATCAGCAACATGTTCAGTTCAGCAAGAATGTACAAAAATGAAATCATGAAATGGAATTTGGACAAGGTATGATTGATTTGTCCTAATGAAGAATTTAGTCTGATATTAAACAGTGTAAATGTCTCTGCCTTTAACCTAAAGGTTCAGTGGTTAGAATTTAGGGGGATGTATCAGCAGAAATGGGATATAATATGATAAGTATGTTTTCTTTAGTGTAAAATCACCTGAAACTAAAAATTGTAGTGTTTTTTTATACCTTAGAATGAGCCGTTTATATCTACCGAGTTGCACAGCCATGTTTCTACAGTTGCCCAGAGTGGGCAAACCCAGCACTGGCTCTAAATAGGGCCATTTGCATTTTCAGGTTAGCCATCATAATTAGCAGCCCCTTCTCGACAAGCCAAACACTGTTGAGAAAACACATTTTTAACATTAAACTGCTTTTTTCTAATGTGTTAACTGCTTTAAGTCATCAGGTCTGTTTGCTTTGGAGGGGAAGAGACCCATGGCAATAATTTTGCTCCCAGTAAAAACCTCTCGAATGTCTGGATCTTAACATTAAGTTATCAGAGACAAAGGTGAGCACACATTAGCAGGTGCTGGGCTACTGGCATCAGAGAAACACTGATTCTTAACATGAAACAGCTGTATTCAGTATTTTTTCTGGCTTTAATCACCTGCTCCATTTGTTTTGAAGAGGAAGAGACCTCCGTGGATAATTTGGCTCCCTGTAAAAATCTCCTGGTCAGTTAACACTGAGGGAATCCTAACCAGGAGTTCATGCTTAGCATGTGGGAGAAGTTTTAGCTGGTTGCAACCTGCAGTCCTCATGGCTTTAATGATCCAGTCCTTTCATACTTTTGCAACATAAAATCTGATTGGTGGATTTGCAGAGTTTAGTGAGTACCTATTGAAGTGCAGTGCCCAGTGTGTGGTGCTCTGGTCATTACTATTGATCTGTTGGTGTAATTGTAGACAGGCGAGCCTCCCTGATGCTTGTGAATGGCCCCGCTGATCAGCTGGAGGACTCGTTGCCGTGATGTAGATGTAGGCTACCTGCTGGTCTGTTCTCACAACAGTTCTCACGCTGGTGCTTCCAGTAGTCTATTAGGTGCATGAGGGTTTTTAAACTGTGCAAAACCAGTGATGGAGAACGCTTAACTGCCAAGTGAAATTGTCCTTTCGACATCAGCATCAAGCTGAGCTCCACTTTGGAGATGTTTTATTACAGATAATGAGCAAATGACTTAGCCAGGCAGTTTTTAAAGGTAGTCTAATCAGCTGCAGTAAGTGCACATGCTCTCGGGACTCATTGTTGGCCGCATCCTGGTCCCCAGGTGGTCCCTGAAAGGTTCCCCTGACAGCCGATCCCAGAGTGAAATGTACTGGAATGTGTGCAGCAAATGACTGCCCAGCGAGAGATGTCTACCTAGGTGGTCACACCTTAGCAGGGAGTTTCTAAACACCACACGCTCATCAATATGCATTGAATGCATGCTCTGTTGGATGTGTTTTCTTTCCTGTAGGCTGCACAGTGATTAACATATTAACTGTTTCTGTGTAAAAGCACGTCTTAAATGAGTATTTTTTGGTCCCCAATGGGCTTATTTCTGCTCAGAATGTCAACTTTAGACAATAAGATGACATCCCTCTCTCCAAGGGTTTCATCTATATGTTTGAAATTGAAATGCTGTGCTGAATGTGATTGGTATGCATACGCAATTCCCTGCTGCAGATGGAAACTTAATGAACTCAGAAAAGAGGGAAGTTTTTTGTGTCTTCTTTTTTTTTTATTTCAGAGGCACAACGTTGTGTCACCTTAACTGTTTATGATATAAAAGGAGAGAGCGGGGACGGGCGCATAAATCACTTGCAAATGGGCTCATTGGAAGAGAACAAATATGTCAGCTGCTCTCCTGGTCTGTGTTAAAGGGGAAAATCACTGTAGCGTCTAAAATCTGTTTGCGCTGGAAGTTTGAGGAGCGCGCACATGGCCTGGCTTGATAGTTCCACTCTGCTTGTCCCGCTCCCCACCCTGCTACCAGTGTGTGTATGAGTGAGTGTGCATGTATATATACGCTCACATGTCGATGGCCATTTATGCGTCGGTGTGTGTTCCCACCTGTGTGTATTTTGAGTTTGGAGGAGGCGCAAAGGGAAAGAGGGCCCTGTGAAAACAAGGTATTAAACACACCACACAATGTTAGGCACCCTCAGATAGGAGATTTGCTTTTGTGTTCAAACCCTGGGGGATTATGAAACACACACATATACATAAAACCATACAGTTTGGCGGATAGCTCGATGATCTGTTCCACAGCACTAAAAATATTTCCACTGCAGACATGGTTGTCACTTTGTGTCAGGGCTGGACAACACGTGACAGGGCAAACTCTTAACACCCATTACATTCCTTTTCAGGTGTTTATCAGTGAAAGTTTCATGTGGATAATAGCTGTATTGTAGAGCAGCCTGTCCACAACACTGCCATCAGACATCAGAGTCTGCTCACTAATGATTTGTGAAGCATTTTCAGGTGTTTAGTCAGAGCATTTGTCAATGCTGTAAACTCTGTCGAAGCATGTTTGGGTAGAGTCACTGAGGAGGACTGGGGTTATTGTTAATGGGGCTCTAGGGGTGGCAGAGTCGACAAGCCCAATACTTCGGTGCAAAGTGAAATATCTTGACAACCATTTGATAGACTGAGAAAAATCCTTCTAACTTTGAAACTGTGAGCTTTAATCTAGCAACACTGCCTAAATTTAAGGATATTACTAGAAATGATGGTTAAATTTCCATTTAATTTGTAAAAGAATATCTATTTTATATTGCTATGAGAGCATCAACCAATTTCCCCATCAAACATCTGTATTTACTCAAGCCCAAAAGCTTTTACAAAGTACATTTGAACCCATTGCGATACTAATTTTTACTGAATAGAGCTTAGATGCATCATAATTTAACTAAATGCAGCCTCCGTTGGCCACCGTCTGCTAACAGCCAACATTAACTAGCTCTCATCCTGCTGATTTCAACACAGATATGTTGTTGACAATTTAGCATTGTCAGGGACAAAATAGATTACATCCCGTGACGCCTTGATAGTGAATCTACTATGTCCTTTTGTCCTGAAGGCGTCCAATAAATCGGTGCATCCTGAGAGGATAATCATGATAGTCTGATATTCGGATAAATGTTCTCAATTTTGATGACCTGCCCTGTAGCAACACACCCAGTCCAGACTGTAAATGTCTCGCATAAGACACCCCAAAATAAACAGGAGAGATTGCCATGACATTTGCTAAATACAATCACGCTTACCAAAGAGTGAGTCTTTTTTGATTTTAGTGTCAACTTAACCTTTCATTTCCATGTAATATGTCTCAAAATGTAATGGGAACATTACTTAGAAAATTGAGAGAGCAATTTAATGATCCTCAGAGTGTGAGCCTTGTGTATTTTGGTCACTATTACCTTAGCTTTTGCACCACCCTTGGGCCAAAAAAAATGAGGAAAATTGACATGTACATGTTGGTACACTTTCATGCTCATCAGAGGATAAACAACTTTCCTCTGGCACCACCTCAGGCCAAATTTTACATGTCTATCGCACACATTTCAAAGTGTTCTTTCTATTTTTCATCCTTCCATTTGTTCTGGGACAGGCTAGCCATTACAAATTATGGACAGGTGGGAAATATTTCCAAAGTGGGCCCCTCATCCACACCCACCCACCATCTCTTAGCTCTAACACCAACACAGGCATTTTAAAAATAAGCTCTTGGCCATTAGCCTTGAAGTGACAGAGATGCATGTTGTGTCTCAAATTGCGTACTTCCGTTAGTACACTTCCATGTAGTATACTATTTGCACTATGTACTTATTGGCATAATGTGCGAATTTCAACAGGGTAGTGTTGTCTCAAACCAAACACGGCTGTTGTGCACTTACCGGAAATGACGACCGCAAATTAGCTGGTTAGCAAACTAGCATTAGCATTCGCAGTACCAAATCATTACAGACTGCTGAATTAACCCAATAAACATACTGCTGGCTTATACCCGACAACAGTATAGTGGTGCTTAGTGCAAAAAACACATGTATTTGTACAATGCAGCGGCGTTCACGGTCAGAGTCCTCGGCCGCCATTTCCAGTTTGAAAAGTGGTCCCTCCCCTTCCGCTATGTAGCCAAGATGGCGACCATTGACGGCAAGAAGTGTCCATAGTTTCACACTCAACTTCTTGAACGTTTTGAGTGCACCATCCTGGTACTCAGAGTGCACTGCATTTTCTATACTTCTCAGTGTGAACGCACTTATACACTCAAAATATTAAGTGTAAGTACAGAAGTACGCGATTTGAGACACAGCAGCAGTCTCTAACAACCATTTCCAGATCCAGTGTTAAGGACCCATCCAGGCTGTGCTCTGTTTTGCATACATATACTCAATGTGATTACAAAACACAAAAGGTCAAGTCAGTTATTCAAAACAAAGGGAAAAAATTCTTTGAAATAAGACTGTGACAGTTGTTGTCATCCTTTTACCGAGAAAACAATGCCCCCAGATGAATGATTAGAGAATCGTAAAATCAAACATTATGGAAATGACTGCAGGGCATTAAATCAGAAGCTCAAATCATGAGTAAACAAATAGGCCTAAATTACCCTTTATCCATCACCATTTCCAAATCCAGTGTTTATAATGTGTTGATTTGTGCAATTTAGATGCTGCATATCATAGTGCACTGAGATTTATAATTCCAGGGCTGGTTGGCCATCTTTGACCTTTCGTAGGTGACTGGTATTTGTTCATTTATAAAGCCATACTGGGTAAACTCCCTTCATACATTTGCACTTTGACTGAACAGAGATCTGACTGTAACTATAGACTGAGATCTCAAGATTTAGTTTTGTTGTCTGTCCCTAGTGCTTGGACTGAGCTGAGAAAGAAGGCTTTCATCTGCTCTGCTCCTCTCACTTGGAATAAACTTCAAAAAGATTTGAAACTACGTGAACTGGTCTCTCTACCTGACTCTAAAGCTCTCATAAGTACAAGGATGAATGTGTCGGTTGGTTCTTGTCATTGTGCATAGGTGTTTTAATATTTGTACATGTTATTGTATTTCTTCTGTGTTCGGCTGTAACTTTTTGTGTGTGCTGCTGTCTTGGCCAGGTCTCCCTTGTAAAAGACACTGTTGATCTCAATGGGACTTACCTGGTTTAATATGGGGTAAATGAAAATAAATAAAAATTCCAAGACTCTTTTGAGACCCCTGTATGCGGAAGGTTTCAAATACATTCAGAAAAATGGCCACGTTTACCCTCACCGAATGTAGCCTAGATTTGGAGCACTATGTGTCCCCCCCATCCCTGATGACGATGCATTGAGCATTAAGCCATCACTGGACTGCTATCAAGATTTAGTTTTACATATTAATGTCTTACAAACATACCCTGCTGCTTCTTGATGCCTTTTTTAATTGCAATAATAATTTATGTTTTGGAACCCACATTTAGTTCATAAACTATATCCAAGTAGAAGCTTCCCTGTAATTATTTTTGAATTAGCCATCAAAACAAAGTCCAGCAGCTGTGTGAGATTTCCTAGATCGCAAGAAGAGAGTCATCATGTAATTGATACACTAATCAATGTCTTGAGTCATTAAAAATTAAATTTGAAATTCTCCAGGAGTCTGTATTTGTGAAATTGCTAATTACTACACAATACATTCATTACCCTTTTATTACAGAGCCTCATCATGATCTCTGTGTGGGTTTATGGTTTATGGTTAATTCTAGCGATAATGATAGTGAAATGAAAAACGCTTTTGAAGACAGTCGACTCGAGTCAAAGATGCTGTTTTTTGTTGGTGCGTGTAATTTTTTTAGGAAGAGGTAAGAGAACATAAAATACTGATTAGATTCATGTCTGGATACTGTTTATGAAGAGGTCACCGTAGTTCATGCTGTTCATTATGCGTTACATCCTGCTGTTCATCAATTGGCCTTGAGCAGTATTGACAATTGGCAAAGCTTGTGCGTGTGTGTGTGTGTGTATTAGTTTTCATGAGTAATGAAGTTTTATTTTGTCCCAGTTGATTGGCTTATTAAAGCTGTAACATTCTCTGTGAAGCAGAGAGATTGTATTGATTGTGAATTGAAATCCGTTGCTGGGTGGCCCTTTAGTGCGGCAGTTTCTCTCCACCCGTCATTATAAAGATTGTTATTTGAAGAGTAGTTGTCCCTGCAGGCTGCCACTGTATCGGTGATGATTTCACTCACTGCTCTTTTGTTCTCCTTCTTTTCTTTTAATATGACATTAATATCAATACTCTGCCGTTGGATTTGTCAGAAAGACTGTGTCAGCTCACAGCATGGGGGCACTGAGAGGTGTTTTTATTTTTAATGTCTTTTCCCTTCTTACAGAGGGGTTATCAATTTATATTCTCTCCACAAATCCAAAAGATATTCACTTAACCCCCAAACCGATCCTCCTCCATCATTTTATTGAACCAACCTAACTCCAGTATTTGTCCCCAGGCTTTAAATGTGACACCCACTCGCATACACAAATGCCTCGAAGATTGGAATCAGAGGGTTTAATAAAAAATATGATAATTTTGTGGCCGACTGCCTTAGGTTTACCTTCCATGAGAATACTCTCTGGCTTATCTCTGCTGTCCTCCATGTCCAATTGCCAGCCAAGTTCTTTACCCTCTGCATATGGAAATTTGCTTTTTGATGTTGCCGTCCACATCAGACGAACACTTTTAGGTGAATTTGGTTGCGTTAGTTGTTACTTTGACATAGTTAGCAAGAAAGTTGTTGTTCTCTGCTGCCTTTACGTGCTATATTAGTGTGTTTGTAATGTTGACAAGAGTTTGACATATACAAAAGCACAACTACTGCTGTTACCAACTGAGGCACTAGGAGGTTAGGTGCTTTGATTAAATGTACAATATGTCAGTTTTGCAAGGGGTCTCTCAATTATATAAATAACAAAAAGGCAGAGCAATTGCAGTCAGTATCTCATGGTTAGAATTCCTTCAGTTGAAGTTTTAAGTGGGAGCTGAATTGCCCACAGACGTACAAGGTGATTAAAACAGGTAGAAACAATAAATTAAGCAGTTTAATGTTAAAAATCAGTGTTTCTCCAAAGCTGTTTGGCTGGTCGTGGAGAAGCTGCTCGCCCATCTCCAGCTCATGTCTGCTCACCTTCTTTCCCTGACTACTTAAAATCCAGAAGTTCAGGAGGTTTTTACCATGAGCCGAATTATCCGCAGAAGTCTCTTCCTCTCAAAAACAAATGGACCTGGTGATTCAAACTGGTAAAAGCAAAGAATAAAGCAGTTTTATGTTAAAAATCAGTGTTTCTCCAATGCTGTTCGACATAGCAGGGGCTAGAGCCAAGCTGCTGTGCTTGTTTCTCTGATAGCTTAAGATCCAGACGTCTGATAACTTGTCCTTCATTGAGTTAAAGCATTTAGTATGAATGACATCGATCTGAAAAGTGTGTCCTAAAAATGTTCTCAAGACTGGATAAAAAGTCAGTTTATGACAGCTTCTGAAACACAACTACAATGCACAAAGGAGATGTGATGCCACTGAGGTGACGACAACCAAATGACATAGACTGTGTCCTCCATCAAAATTACAGATTTATCTGGGTTTACGCATTGTAGGAAACATTTGGGATAAGTGCACAACCAAAAAATATGTTTAACTTCGGTTATTTAGTCATGGAAATTGTAATGTGGGAGAGCATATATTGAATCTTTAGGGTCACATCAACAGTGGACAATATTGAAGAGGGATCAATGAGGCCAATTTGGCAGATTTTTCACACTGATGTTAAGACATGATGATTTGAGGTGTCTGCTCACTACGTTTTTTTTCTTACCTGATATCTCAGTAGAGGTTTTTGATTGGCTGTGTTCTGAAATTGGATACTGTATGGCTTTGTTTGGCTTTCGTTCTGACATTCATGCTGTTCCAAGAGATTTTGCTACATTTAAACTAATTAATAACTGCTATCTGTACGTTGCTTTAGTTTAATCCTCTGAGCTGTGAGGAAGCCATCAACAAGCTGCGTGCGTCTTCATTGACAGCGTGTTGAGAGCATATGCCGCACTGGCTCACACGATCCATCATCTGCTCCGTGTGTTTAGCGGCGTTCTGAATGTCTGTATTTGTCCATGTCCCTGCAGATTGCCGTGAGATCCTCCTGCCGCTGATGACGGACCAGCTGAAGTTCCACCTGGAGAAGCGTGAGGAGCTAAAGGCTTGCTGCCAGCTGCTCAGTGACATCCTGGAAGTGCTCTACAGGAAGGATGTGGTGAGAAACATGACTCTCCAGCTTTGTGAACTGTTATTTCCCTCTGGGATAAATAGCGGCATAACAAGGGAATCCAGGAGTCCCTTCATAAAGCAGAAGCACGTTTCCACTGTGGTTATTTTACTGAACAGCTACTAATCAGTGTGCTGTTCTTAATTTATTTTATTGCGCTGCGTGCCCTGAAAGGAGCATGTTTTACAGCACTGTTAATTTACTAACCTGTAGAGTTGGCTGTGCTCAGTAATTCATTGCTCAGTGTGGCTAGAGGCCATCTTCAACACAAATGAATGTGCTCCAAGAACATGGTGATGAGCTCCATGGTAAAGCGGAGCCAGAGTACTTATAGCGAAGCAGTCAACATGATGATTAATCACCATCAGAGTCAATAACAGAGCCAGTTATGTAGCTATTTAAAGGTAATGATTGTTTTCCTTCGTTAGTCTATGCATTGTTTTTTCAGTTAATCAATTCCAACGTCTACAGGTCCTTAAAAAGTCTTGAAATTTCTTAAGTTTTTTTGCCTTAAATCATTAAATAGTCGTAAGTTTGAATTTGTGAGGTCTTAATTGCCACAAAATTTTTCTTTTAATTTATTTTCAGTCAGCATGAGTCAAGCTTTTTCTGTCTGAAAGTCACATTTCTGATCTTTTAACCGACCACTTTTTACTTTAGACTTGCATTTACCTGTTGCCAAAAATACACATTAACCTAACTCACTCTCATAACCATAAACTTACCTCTGCACAGGAGCACATATTTACTACTTACCTTTATACTTACCTGCAATGCTTGAAAAAGAAAGAGATGATTTGTCCAAAAATCAGTCTAAAATTTTGTTAAAAATGATCTTAAAGGTCCTTAAAAGCCTTAAATTTAAGTGCTTGATACCTGTAGACAGTGTTGGGGAATACTTAGCAAGGTGTAATTACATTACAAAATAAATGTAGTTGTTATAAGTTAAAGTTACTGAGAGAAAATATGTAATTAAATTACAACTTTATTAAATTAGACTGCTTCCAGTGATGTAGAGGTAGCTAATGAGGTGGGTGTACTACTAAGCAGATGGTTAGGTTACCACAGAGCAGGTGGGTATTGGCTTTATGGCTGATACAGCTGGTGGGTGTACTGTAAACAGCCAGAAAAAGAAGTGGGAATACCCTGTGTACATTTGTGTACCGTCCACTTCACTATTTCTGGACATTTTTTTAGCTAAATTGCCCATTAAGAAAAATCAAAAAAATAATCAACTGTAATGAGCTACATTACGTCTAACATTTTTAACAGGGTAACTAGTAATCTGTAGCCTATTACATTTTAAGATAACCTTCCCAACACTGCCTGCAGACACCCTGAATTCATTTATTAGTTTATAAAGTGGCAGAAAATAGTTAAATAATTCCAATTAGAAGTTCCCCGGGTCCAAGGTGACCTTTTCAGATTGCTTGTTTTGTCTGACCTACCTACACTTTCCAAAATATTCAGTTTACAATTACATAAAATAAAGAAAAGCATCTGACATTTTCCCGATTAATGACTTAAACAATGAATTTTTCACTGGAGTGTACATCCTGCCCACTCAGGCATCAGTGTCAGACCTCACATGCACACTTGATAACACACGTGCGCCCGAGCACTCAGCGGCTTCACAGCCGTGTTTCATCCTCGACCATGCCCAGACTCCTGATGTCCTCCCTCAGGCCCTCATAGACTCCCCTCGCCATTGATCACCACGGCCCGGCCTCCCACACTCCATTCTGCGAGGGATTATCTCCCACTTGCTCTGCCTTCACACTTCTGTCTCTCTCTGTGTTGCGTCTCCCTGCCTTGCTCCGTCTTTCATACCTTCCCTGCTCTGCACTCTTCCATGCACAAAAAGACAAGGAAACTTGAGTGTCTAAGTTATCAAACAGCTTATACCTTATTAGAAACAAGGATCTAATTTTATATTTCCTTCGTAAATAGCTGGATTCTGACTGTAAGAATCAGGATGTCATGCGCTGGGTTTGTGTGGGAAGTTTAAAAAGGCTTGGATTTTTCTCACAAAAAAAAAAAAAAAAACTCTGGGAATCATGTGGGTTTTCACCAAAGATGTGCATCACACTTGGTACGTTGGAAGGCAATATCTGTAACTCCCTCCTCAGATAGTTTATTCTCCCCAGTGCTCCTCTGCGATTGTCTGAATGTTTGTGTGTGCGTGCGTGCGTGCATGCACACACCCGCGTGCACGAGTTCTTCAACCGCAGAAGGAGCTGTGTAAATTATTAAAAGTTTAGGTTGACGCTGCAGAACTCGGTCTGCTTAGAAGACTCCCCCCACAGACAGGTAGAGACAGTGAGAAACAGCCCTGTGCTCACTCAAACTCACTAATAAAGTCCGTGGAAAATCGTCCCACTTATGACAACGGCACAACTGCCCCATGGGTGTTTTCCTCCTCCAAAAGCTGGGATTCACGATGTATAAATCATCTTGGCTGCATCAGTCATATTTGTCAGGTTTCTTAGCGCCAAATTTCCTCAAAGTATTCTCAGAGTTTCAAGTTTTGAAGAGCGTGTATTATTATTTATTGTATCTATTGATAAAGACTGACGGATTATTTGTTTTGTAGTGTCACAAAAAGCAGTGAAGGAGTCAGATTTTCAGTTATAAGGATGTCTTGACAAATGCAAATTCACAGTAGCTGTAACTACGTACACACATGTATCCATGCATTAATGCATTCACACAACACCACAAACACCTGTCACCAATCAAGTGATGCCTCGCTATGACAGCTGTTCCATGAGTTATGAAAGGGGACATGTCAAAATGGGCTGTCTGTATGTATATTTCTGTGTGGGTGTGGGTGTGTGTCTTCCTACAAAGTTCAGTCATGCTACAGGAAGCTGTTAAGAAGTTATGCGCCTTTTTGTTATAAGCCACTCCCCCTGCCACACCCTCTTTTTTGCCAGTTTGCATGACCAGTTGATCAGCTGTCCTTTGGCTCATGACCAATGTTTCCACGAAATCTTATGCAAGTCTGTGAATCCATTCGGAAGAGTTGGTGCTCTGATTGTTATCAGTCGATATTCGTCCGTACAGTTTGAGGGCCAATTGGAAGGCCGATCAGATGACACAAAACACACGAGACAATACACACCGCTTCAGTACAGTAGCTTCACTGGTCTGACAAACTGTAGCTCACACTGAACATTCATGGTTTACAGCCAACCTGATGTCCAGCTTATCTGCCTGTTCCCAGTCCAGGCAAACTGTCTCCTTCTTTGGCCGCCACAGTTGTGATACACTCCGCTGTTCTGACAGTGTTTACATTTAGCTTTGTTTTGTCTTGTATTTAACCTACACGATCAACATGGCATCTTCATGTCTACCGGCTCTTTCTCTTCTGCGTTTCTTGAGGATTTGAGTCGTTTTGTCTCTGACTGGAAATGCAGAGGTGATTAGGGGAGACCAGGGTCGATTGTTACAAATTTTGGTTTTGATGTCATCACTCAAAAACCTCTTGAACCACTGGATTTTATGTAGGCAACTTGTATCTGTGTTCTACATGTTAACAGCTATCAGTCATTTTTACAAGCAATGTTAAAGTCACAGTATTGATAAAAGCACTCGATATCGAATTATTACATTTGCCTCCACCTGCAGGAGCGTTTGTAATAGTATATGGGAAGCATTTTATAAACCATGACTCCATGACTCGACAGTGTACAGATGCGTGTCCAAAGCTCTTCTTGTGTCATCAGACATGCTACATATGTTAAGGCAGCACAAAATAAAGCTCATGTACGTCAGCACCACTGCTGAAAAAAATCCTTGGGGAAACCATGGGATAGGCAGTCAGTGACTGTCCCAGAGTTAGTTAGATAGCTAAGTGTAGTTAGCAGTCCCTGAGCAGGCAAATCAACTAAAGAACGGTGGTGTCAAATGTTATAATTCAGATAAAGGTCCTGCATAAATACTGCATAAAACTAAAAGCACTTTCTGTTAAAAAACATCATACAAAAGGGGAACTGAATAATAATTATAACAATATAATAATACATTTAATTTATAGAGTGCTTTTCGTCGTACTCTGAGACATCTTACAAAAGTTTAGAATGATCATAAATAGAATACACAAAAATATATAACCCCCAACATTATTCACACATTAAAAGCAGTATTTAACAGGTGATTTTTGATAAGAAATTTGAACTGGGAGAAGTTGGTGCAGTCCTGAATGCGTTTGGGAAGAGAATTTCTGAGGGAGGGAGAAGGCTCTGTCGCCCCAGGTCCGATGCTTGGTCCTGAGTGGTGGAGTCAGGAGGTTGGCATCAGAAGAGGGGAGGCTGCGGGAAGGAGAGTGGTGGTGGAGCAGGTCAGTGTGGTAGGAGGGGGCCTGGTTATTGAGGGCTTTATGAGTGAGGAGAATTGGATCTGTTGTGGGACAGGAAGCCAGTGGAGGTTCTGGAGGACGGGGGTGATGTGATCACGGACGCAGGAATGGATGAGCAGACGAGCAGCGGAGTTCTAAATGTATTGGAGTTTATTCAGGACTTTGGATGACGTACCAGAGGATGCTGTTGCAGTAGTCAATCCTGGATGTGATGAAGGCGTGGTTGAGGGTTTCGGGAGCAGAGAGGGAGAGTGATGGGCGGAGGCGAGCTGTGTTTTTTAGGTGGGAAAAGACAGTTCTTGTAATTTGATTGACATGTTGTTGGAAGGATAGGTTGCTGTTGAAAATACCTCCGAGGCTGCGGATGTGTGGGGAGGAATGCAGAGTGGAGTTATGAATGGTGAAGCAGAGAGCAGTGGTTTTGGTGAGGGATCTTTAGGACTTTGTGGTTAGTGGTCACATGATGGGTTGTGTTTCAGACCTGATTTCAGTTGTGAAAATTTGCTGTTAGCAGTTAATGGCAGAGCACCTTGATTATTTTTGGTCCATTGTCCTATGGCTGTGGCTCAGGAGGTGGAGCATGGTGTCCACTAATTGGAGGACTGGTGGTTTGATCCCCGGCTCCTCCTGTCTGTATGTCGAAGTATCCTTGGGCAGGACACTGAACCCCAAATTGCTCCTGATGGCTGTTCCATCGGTGTGCGTGTGAACGTCCAAACTGAGTAGCAGGTGGCACCTTGTATGGTAGTGGAGTGTGTGTGACTTGGTGAATGTGACTGTAATGTAAAATGTTTGAGCGGTAGGAAGACTAGAACGGTGCTATGCAATTTATCATTCCATTCACAATATTTGTCATTCAGAATCTATCCTAAAACACACGGAGACATCAGTTTTGAAATTAGAAGACATATTTAAAGTCAGTGTGTATTGTGTATTTTTGCAGGGTCCCACCCAGTGGCACGTGCAGATCGTCATGGAGAAGCTCCTGAGGACAGTTAACAGGACAGTCATCTCCATGGGCCGCGACTCTCCTCACATAGTAAGTGTGTCTGCTTCTCTGCAACTGTTAGCTGTACACCCACGGCAAGCCTTCTTTTTTTCCTTCTGTTTATCACACACATACGTACTCGTACACTTGTGCGCACACACATTCGCACGCACACTCCAATTTCGAGGCCTCTGTACCACAACCAGCTTAACTCCCACAGGCCCACTGCAACTCCAATTCCATTCCAAAGCTATCATTAAAGGTAAAGTCTACCTTGGCAGAATGCTTTCACACAACCTCAATCTAAGAGTGCCTTTGATCTGCTCATATCTTTCTCCAGCCAGTTGTTTGTGTGCTGATCTGTATGTGTGTGTTTTGCTGTTTCACAAGTTTTTTTTTTTTTCACGTGTCTTTGCCTGTTTGTTTGTCTGATCCCTCATTTATTAGAACATTGCTGATGCTCTGTGCTGTAATCTAATCACACAAACCCGCGTAGCCCCTCACTGCCGTTAGCATCCTTCCCCCAGTCGCTCTCTCAGCTAGAGCTCGGTAGCAATTAACGCACTTATCAGTCATAGTATAAATATTGTGCTGTCTGCTTTATTTCCGTGGCAAAGCCTTCATCCATTTTCATGAGTCCAAAGAGTCCAATGAATGTCAACTTCGGTATTCGTTGAGTCATGAATATTAACTTTGGTATTCGTTGAGTCATTCTGTTGCATCCTGTTGACGCTTGTGTTTGTTAGAGGTGCACGTAGCCTGTGATGTGACTTTGAAAGTGAGACTTGGGTAATAAACATATATAATTTTTATGCAAGGCTTTATGACGGAGGAGATTCCTCTGAGGGCACTTAAAGGTACTTTTATAGCTCACTTAAATACAGCAGAGTGATGAGAGAGACATTTTCTCCGGACTTCAACTATGTATAGCAAAATGGAGAGTCGTATGACACTGACTCATTATATTGATGCTGGTACAGGTTAGCGTAGCATCCTTTCTCCTGCTGTCTCGGGTTATTTATCGCATGTTTGTGTGCACAGCACCGTCTCCATCTGGGGAGCAGCAGGAACCGGCGTCACCTGTTTAAATGGAAGCTTATCTGCTTTTATTACCAGTCACTGAGCCACACCAGCAGAGAGAGATTTAAAAAAACCCAACAGCAGCCAGAGTTATCACTCACTAATCATCCAGCGTGTGTTTGTGAGCGTGTGTGTTATGTCACCGCGGTATATCCGCAGCACTCATCCTTTGTCCTCTGTGTCCTGTCTTACTCTTGTCTTCATTCTTCTCAACGCGGGGACTCTCTATCCATTCCTTTATTCCACCTCTTCCTCTGTTTAAAGGTATTTCAGCAATGCACCAAGCTAATTGTGTAAATGGGGAGCCCTCTGTTGTGTAACAGATCGCCAGCGTGCCTCGCACTGCATAATGTAAAGCTAATGAAGCTGTGAGTTGAGCCGAAGCCTCCCTGCTGCCCCCTCTCTCCCAGCCAGCTGCCTGGAGGGGGTCTAGGACTCCCACTAACTCTCCCTCTTTGGCTCTCCAGTCTATTCATTGTTATACCAGGGCATTGACGCTCTGCACCGTCCCACCTGGCTCACAGTCAGAGAGTTTGAAAAGTCGGATTTGGAATAGAGATTGTACGCTGGTAGATATTTTGTCAGAACTCGGACCAGCTGCCTTTGCCTTTTTTTGTTTTCCGTCTGTTATTTTTCACTGCAGCGAGGGTCTTTTGATGATGAATTTCAGCTATGGAACTTACCCACCACTTTGTTTAAAAGGCTATCAACGCTCATGAAGGCAACACAAGTAGGCCTACCTCTCTGCTGTATTATACTAAGTGCATCCATTTCAGTGCGCCCCCTGTGGTGCAGGTGAAATGGCGTTCCCTGCTTCCAGCGGTGGCTGCTGAATGGTGCAAAAACAGACCAGCCTCCTTTCTGGTTAATGAAACTGCTCTACCACTGATCTCCTGTGGCCCTTATTGTAACTATCTACTTTGTATACATGTGCTGCAGCTGCCCTCCACCTTACTTCGCTCCCTCATATACAGCTTGCTTTTATTGTCTCTACTGACCCTTACCTTTTGTCGGCTGCTAGCTGGCCACTACACTTGACATTTCTAAGCACCTGCATAATATCAGTGAGCAGGGTGTCCTTCTAGCCAGTGGGAGTTTGAGGTCACATCAAAGCCCCGTCTTTTTGAAAGCACTGTGTCTTTTTTTACACACACACTATAGATGATGTAGTACTTGAGGACAGAAGCTGCATTTGAAGCAGCTCCCCAAATCACTACATAATGATCAATAAGGTTGGTGTGAATTTTTAACAGCTATGAGACCCAGTTAGTGCTGCTGGAAGCGTTGTAGCTTTCTAATCAGAGGACTGTTGTTGCCGCCGCTGGGCACTGCTGCCTACTCTGCAGGCAGATTGTGCGCCGCTGCTCACACAACACTGCAGCCAACCACCGACCTTGTTCTTCTGAGTGGCAGCCTCTTACATTTAGATTTATGCATTAACGTTCTACTTTGTCTCCCGCCTCTCTCCCCCTCTCTCTTCCCTTTCCTCTCTGCTCTCTCCTGGAGGTGTTGGACACAGAATGTTGATGAGAATGATCACAGTGACGGCTTGGGGGCGTCAGTTTTTGTTGTGTGTTGTCACCACAGTGCTACGCCTGTTAGCGTCGCCACACATTTGCATCGTCGGACATCCCAGCAGGCTGCATCTTTATATTCATGTCCACCCTCATGCAGGTTGAGATGAGTCCTTGTGAATACATTTACATTAGGGTTGTAGCAGAAACATTTTCGGCTGTCCCTGCTAAAATTAGTTCTACCTGTATGCCCTTGAATTTCATTTTCATTTGGTTTTAAGCTTCTAGATGAGCCCTGCAGATACACATGGGGAGGAAGCTGCAGCAGGAAAAATCAATGTGTTACACGCTTGTCTTTTGCTTTTTTGAAATTGCAACCAAACCAATGAAAGAAACCTTGTTTTTCTCAGTCTGTCATGTTAGCCACACTGACCTTTGTATATTAAATGTCAGAATGAATATTATAAAATAATAAATTCCTGCCAGACCTGAGGATATATTGGAAACACTGCTAGACAGATGGCTTTACCTTAATGTTGTCTTAATGACCTGTTAAACTTTTTGTAGCTGTAGTTTCGAGGACAAAGTGACAACAGGTTGTGGTGATGGTCGGCTGCAGTGCCTCATGGTTATCCTGCCGATTTTCCTGCAGTGTGCAGGAGGAATGGAGTACAAAGCTGCAGGGGAAGGACTTGTGCTATTGATTGACAGTATGTAGCTGACCGGCTATAGGGGCTGGGGCTCTTTCTTTGCTGCATGCTCTCACTGACCGAATATGTTGAAACGAAGCCATCTGGATGACGTCTATTCAGATCAGAATCCTCCCCTGTCTCCTTGGCTCTTTGTATCACTCACTGTCTTCATCCCTGTCTTTTTATCTGTTTCTGTCTAAATATTTCTCTCTGCATCTCTCTCTGTCTTCTCTCCGACTCTCTCTCTCTCTCTCCTGCCGGCCAGACTGCTGCAGAGCTCTTACAGAAAAGAAGCATAGTGAGATATGGCACTGCATCATAATGCCTCAAACGTGCACTTATCACTCACTCGCTGCACCTCTTCCCTCCTCTCCTGCGCTGGAACTTTGACTGAGCATCCTCTTGGGTTTATTGACCCTGCGACAACTCATGTCAGACGTGTGCTCACTGGCAACGCCGAGTGAAAACCACAGAGACTCACGTGGTGATGCTCGTCACCTTCAAACCGCAGCCCTCTGCGGTTAAAGGGTGTAAGAATGCAAGATGTGAAGCTACACTGGGTGTCTTGTTTGTGCCGCTGGTACTGTGCTGTAAGCATCCACCTGAGGGAGGCCCTGTGGAGATGGCCCTGCCACGGGTGAGAGGACAGGGGGCAGCGTTGCCCTAGAGCAACATTGGTTCCTGCAGTTTTATGCATTCATGTGAGGGTGACTCTGCGTCCATGGGGCATTTACTCAGAGTTTTGTCCTCAGTTTACCTCATGATTTCACCTCATTGCTGGTCTGCGCCAACATCAGGCAGCTGGCGTTAAAGTAAGGTTAGTAAGGGCAAGAACTGTGCTGTGATTGTAAGCTTTAGATCAGAAGCAGGTTCTAAGGCAGGTTGACTGCGTGCACCAGAAACCCTTTGCTGCTTATCCCTCTGTTGTATTCTGCTCTCGTTTTGTGCCACCCCACTACATCAAAGAGATGCAGGCCTGATTTAAGGTGGGTTTTTAACCGTATCTCCTGGATTTCATCACATAAGATTGTAGAGTTGATTGTTTTGCATACAGAATTCTCAAACTAAGCCTAAGTGGAATCTTAAATTGCAGAGGTGTTTCAGCCAAAAGTACAAAATAATGCAGGTCCTCACTTCCTGACAGTTGTGTTCATCCAAGCATTGTGTTTTCCCAAGCTTTGAGATATTTGTCTCTGAGTTTTTTGCTCATTGAAATAGAGGTGAATGACATTTCACTTGTGGTACACACAGCATTGAAAAAAAAAACATTAATGAATTTTAAAAAGCATCATATTTTTCCCGAAACACTGACACTTGATAATTCCTCACAATCCTTGGCGAATGTAATTTAAACTGCAGTTAAAGGAGCAATGTAGTGGCATCTAGCGGGGAGATTTGCAGATTGCAACCAGTGTTCATTGTTCAGTAGGTTTTTACTGGGAGTGAGCCAGTTTGACATTAAAAATTAATGTTTTTCTTAAGCTGTTTGGCTCGTGGTGGAGGGGCTGCTAACCACGGTGGCTGACACAAAAAAGGCGAATGGCCCTTTCTGTGACCAGTGTTTGGTTTGTCCATTCTGGACTCTGTGGACAAGGACGAGCTCCCTATGTAGATATAAATGTCTTGTTCTTATTTTCGGGTGATTATACACTAAAGAAAACATACTTGTTATATTATATTCCATACCATACATACTGACCGGACCTTTAGCTGCTAGATCATCAGAAGCAAGTGATAATTTTTTTTTTTTTTTTTTGTTACTCTTGTGAACTGACCCTTTAACTGCCCTGATTGAATTAACAACCTACTATGCTACGTAAATGATACTCAGTC